AGCGGCCGGCCAGTTGTGCAGCATCCATGGCAGGGATGACAGACTTGGTTTTGAGGCGCCTCAAATACCCAACTCACACATTCACTCACTCACCGACACGTGGGGAATCGGCTCTCTGGCAGCGAGTTGCGCAGAGAAAATTGAATTCGACCCAGATCCAACAGACCGAACTCGTCCTGATCTTCACTATTCTATGCTTAGGCGAGGTAGGGATCAAGTAAACAAGAAATCAACATTCCAAACTGAGCGTACGCGCGTTTCGGCACGGTGGCATTTTTTAGGTGCCTCAAATGGCGCGGATGACCGACTTGCCCATGGGCATGTAGATGGCCATGGGCATGTAGATGGCCATGGGCCACTCGGGGAGAAGGGAGGCGTAAGGGTACCTTACCTTGCAGTACTCACAGGCACGTGGGGAATGAGCTCTCTGGCGGCGAGTTGCGCTGCATCCATGGCACGAATGACCGACTTGGCCATGGGCATGTAGATGGGCCACTCGGGGGTGGTGGGGTCTTGCAGGGCCATCGCTAGGGTGACTGGCGGATGGGGTGGGAGGAGAGGACGGGGAAGCGGGTGAGGTGATGGGCATGTGGATGGGGCATTCCGGCATGCGGACATACACTCATACACTCATAATGTGAGCTTGTGACCAGTACATGACATGCACTCACCTCTTCACACGCACCCACCTCACCTCTTCACACGCACACCTCACCTCTTCACACGCACACCTCACCTCTTCACATGCACTCACCTCACCTCTTCACACGCACTCACCTCACCTCTTCACACGCACTCACCTCACCTCTTCACACGCACTTGTGAGAATTCTCAAATGTTATTACAAAACGCTGACACCAGTGGGAGTACGACACGGTATAGAGTGACTGGCTTACATGCGATAATCTCCTCCTCCTGAAGCTTCTGGCTCCTGCTGCTGCTGATGCCAGGCGGGGTGACGTGAAAGCTGATGGGCATCATGGGCTCCTCATGCAGCATCACGCCCATTATGCCCAGATCCACCACCAGCCTGCAGGTGTGGAGCGGCATAGCAGAATGGCGAAACAGAGTGGAGGGGAGAGGGTGCACGGGGCACAAGGTGAGTGATGGGCATCATGGGCTCCTCGTGCAGCATCACGCCCATTATGCCCAGATCCACCACCAGGCTGCAGGGAAGATTTGAAGTAGAGGGGGAGGGTAGCGGCAGTGCGGAGTGGAGAAGAAGGAGTGGAGTGGTTTGAAAGCTGATGGGCATCATTGGCTCCTGGTGTAGCATGACGCCCATTATGCCTAGGCCCACCATCAGGCTGCGTGTGTGGAGTGGCATAGCAGAATGGCAAAGCAGAGTGGAGGGCAAGGGAAAAGGGAGGAGGGTGATGGGCATCATGGCCCCTGGCGCAGTCTCAGTCAGCCGTACCAGAATGACCCACAATCACCTGCCCACAATCACCTGCCTACAATCACCTGCCCACAATCACCTGCCTACAATCACCTGCCTACAATCACCTGCCTACAATCACCTGCCTACAATCACCTGCCTACAATCACCTGCCTACAATCACCTGCCTACAATCACCTGCCTACAATCACCTGCCTACAGTCACCTGCCTACAATCACCTGCCTACAATCACCTGCCTACAATCACCTGCCTACAATCACCTGCCTACAATCACCTGCCTACAATCACCTGCCTACAATCACCTGCCTACAATCACCTGCCTACAATCACCTGCCTACAATCACCTGCCTACAATCACCTGCCTACAATCACCTGCCTACAATCACCTGCCTACAATCACCTGCCTACAATCACCTGCCTACAGTCACCTGCCCACAATCACCTGCCTACAATCACCTGCCTACAATCACCTGCCTACAATCACCTGCCTACAATCACCTGCCTACAATCACCTGCCTACAATCACCTGCCCACAATCACCTGCCTACAATCACCTGCCTACAATCACCTGCCTACAATCACCTGCCCACAATCACCTGCCTACAATCACCTGCCTACAATCACCTGCCCACAATCACCTGCCCACAATCACCTGCCCACAAAGCAGAGTGGAGGAGGGAAGGGAGGACGCTGACGGAGGGGAGTGGTGTGAAAGCTGATGCGCATCATTGGCTCCTCGTGCAGCATCACGCCCATTATGTGTATGATGGGTATCATTGGTTGGTCCACCACCAGCTTGCACACCACAGTGGAAGCGCAGAGGGGAGGACGCTGATGGGTACCACCGCATTTCCTTTCACGCCACTTCCTCTCACGCACCATTCCTAGCCACGCCCCTCCCACTCACGCCCCTCCAACGCGCGCCCGGCCCTCCGACTCACGGGGCAGCAACGCGGATGAAGACAGCGTTCGCCTTGGGCACGTGGTACCCGCTGTCGTCCTTGCCGTCATCGCTCCACCCCGCCCCAATGAAGAAGAGCACGAGGCCCTTGCTGGCATTTGGCATGTTGTCCGGCGCCTGGGAGGGTGAAAGAAGAGGGGGGGGGGGGGGGGGGGGGGGGGAGCACAAAAAGTCAGTCTGTTTGGGTTGGGCACGTGCTACCCACGGTCGTCCTTGCCGTCATCGCTCCACCCCGCCCCAATGAAGAAGAGCACGAGGCCCTTGCTGGCATTTGGCATGTTGTCCGGCGCCTGGGAGGGTGAAAGAAGAGGGGGGGGGGGGGGGGGGGGGGGAGCACAAAAAGTCAGTCTGTTTGGGTTGGGCACGTGCTACCCACGGTCGTCCTTGCCGTCATCGCTCCACCCCGCCCCAATGAAGAAGAGCACGAGGCCCTTGCTGGCATTTGGCATGTTGTCCGGCGCCTGGGAGGGTGAAAGAAGAGGGGGGGGGGGGAAGCACAAAAAGTCAGTCTGTTTGGGTTGGGCACGTGCTACCCACGGTCGTCCTTGCCGTCATCGCTCCACCCCGCACCAATGAAGAAGAGCACGAGGCCCTTGCTGGCATTTGGCATGTTGTCTGGCGCCTGGGAGAGCGAGGAAGCACAGCCAGGAGAGATGAATTGAAGGAGCTTATATTTGCAATTGCAACTCACAAACTGGGGCGGTTTCCCAAGGCAACTCAGGCATCACATGAGAGTCACAAAGCGGTTGTTTCAAAACCAAATAGCTTTTCAATATAAAAACCGCCTGACGGAACAACATGCACTGCAACAAAAACTAGCGACGTTTTTCAATCGAAAAATGCCCAGTGTTCACAAAAAAGCGTTAGGTGGTGACACCAAGAAAATCAGACTGGTACTTTAGTTGACAAAAAATCAGCTCACAAGGAGAGTGAGGTGGTGCCACCAGAGGAATCTGTTGGTAACGGTTTGGTTGAGACAGCGGTGAGCGTTCACCAGCAGCACATACCCCGTCCACCACCCTCCGGCCTCCTTGGGCTTTCCAAACACTATCTGACTGAACCTCATGCACCGCTTGCTCACAATAAGCGTCAGGTGGTGCCACCAGAGGAATCGGTTGGTAACGGTTTGGTTGAGCCAGCGGTGAGCATTCACCAGCAGCACATACCCCGTCCACCACCCGCCCGCCTCCTTGGCTCGCATGCGATTGCCTGTGTCCTTCCACCTGCCAACAGCAGGGCAGAGAGAGTAATGAACACCAAGAAGGATGGGTTGGTGAGAGTGACAGCACTATTCAGCCACAGGTGGAAGTCCATGGATTTTAGAGCCGAATGCATACTATTTTCTACCGCATGGGCCAGAAGATTTAGCTAAAATTGTCTGGCCGGTTTCCCTTCAGCAAAGGCGAATGGTTTCTGATGCATGCAACCATTGGAAATTACCCGAATTCCGCATCCGCGCTATAGACATATCTGTCCAGCAGTGTACCGCGACAGTTCCTCGCCGTCTCGCAGCCGCTTTGCGGGAAAAGCGGCGAGCCGGACGACTGTGCGATATCGGCGGAGAGCAGGCTTGGTCGCACGAGCTCGAAGAATGTCAAGTATGCGACGGTCAGTGCGACGGCAAGAGGCAGAATGCGACGAGTTAGAGCGGCCTGGAGTCGTCTGACCAGGACACCAGGGCTTGACGCGTGCGGACGCGTCATGATAATCCGTTATAAAGTACTGCAGAACCAAAAAAATCAGTACGTCGCTACTGGTAAGAGCGTAAATGCGTAGGTCGGTCACGGTCTCCGGCTCGCTCCATGTAGTTGAATGCAACAACGGAAACCACGGCGTGACGTTTCAGTCTAGTATCTAAAATTGCGGGTGCGGAAAAGTGGTTTCTATTTCGGGATTTTCAATGTGGGTCTTGAAATGGACACTTTTAAAAGTTGCTTCGATTGCGGGATAATGAGAGGCAGGGGGGCACCACGGCTAACAGCAATCCTACGCTACTGTTTGGATCACCAGCCATTTTAGCTGCTATTGAAAATGTTGAGGTAGCCACAACAACCTTTATCAGGCAAATACATTATGTCTGGATACATCAATTTCTTTCTATTTTCATGAAATCTGACATATTTTCTCAACTTTGTAAGAGGTTGACTTTGACTCTTTGACATGCCATGATCATCAACCAAGCGCTACGAACGAGTTTATCCGCCAGATTATCCTCTCCAAAAACACTGGTGAGTCGGTCTCAGGCGAGTACATAGGAAGTCACAAAAGTAGAGCCCGAGGGAAATGATACTGTTCTGGGTGTGGATAGCAGGAATCTACGAGCAGCAACATGCAGCAGTACCAGCAGCGATCATCGCCCGTTCATTACGCTATGCTGTTCGACGACTTTTCTTTACCGTTGGTCCTTCACATCATAATCCTTCGCGTCGTTTCTGAAGCGTGATTCACTCGGTGATTCTCGATAATTTAATCACTAAGTGATTCACTCGGTAAATCACCCAGTGATTCTACTACAGGATAACATAGGAATCCTGATTACAAGTTGGCAATGGACCCCGATGTAGATTAGGGTCAATTTCAGTAGACTCTTCCGAAAATATTCGTTGGAGTAGATTCGTCGCTTCACGCAGTTATATCAAATGGCGGCACGTTCTGAGAGCTCTCAAAATGCACCAGGAGCGTCGCACCATCTTGAGAAGGACGTTCGGCTCGAACCAGACGCCGAGGCGGTGGAGGAGATTCTAGAAGATGACGCGGAAGATGCGGAGAAGAAACGCGAAACTACGCGGAAAGAGCGACGAGGGGAAGCGGAGGCGGCAAGGGAGACTGGTGGGAGGGAAGGTGGAGACGAGGTGGGGGAAGGGGAGGAAGGGGAGGAAGAGGAGGATTGGGAAAGGGAAGAGCACCTAACGATTGGTGATATAATGAATCGGGTATACCATGACGTGACCTGTCCCGCTATTGGCCAATATATCGCATGACATTGCCTGTCCCGTTATAAGCCAGTACAATTCAAAACCCGTAACATGTTGCAGTCTCCAGTGCCTACAGCACCGGTCTGGCACACTCCTCACAATACCATCGACTAGAAGATCACGGATTGCGGAGCAAGCATTTCCGGAAAGAGCGGAGCAAGCATTTCCGGAAAGAGCGGTCGCAAATGGCTCTTTCGAATTGCTTCTGAGAATTCTCAGAAACGTTTCCCTTGCTGCTGTCTCCCACCCACCCTACTGATGCATGCAGGCAATCGCGGAGCAAGCATTCCCGGGAGGAGCAGTCGCCTTTGGCTCATTCGAGGGCCCTGTTTTCCACGCCTGTGAGTGCCATACCATCATCTCACCTCTATGCAACAGATTCTTGTCGAGACACCTTAGAATCCGCCTGATAGCAGACCGTTTGTCAGATTGCTTGATGATGTACAGCATTTATGTTATCAAATTACTCCACCCGCATGCCATGCAATGGTCTTCACAAATCCGCCACCCTTTTTCTCTGCATCTCTCATTGGCATGCGTTGTTCCATGGTACATGGCGCATGGCTCATGGTCCATTGACTGCATCGACACAAAACCTGACTGGGACTCTCAATCAACCCAGCCTTCGGCACTTATACTTAGTACGCTCTCTTGTACTTTACTGCGTCCTTCCAGTGCTGTCGGTTATTTACGCTTCACTTCTGCCTTTCCATCATTTGGTCTCTTTCGTTCGAAAGCCTCATTCACTCATCACGTTCATGCCACATCCCACGTGTCTCAAGTGAATGGCTTGTCATCTCTCGCTGCTCATCCATCTTCTTCCCTCCCAGTGATTGCAACAGACCCATCACCTTGGACTCGCTCTGGGACCTCGCCTCGCTCACCAAGGTTGTTGGGAGGGGTGGGTTGGGGGGGAGGGAAAGAAGGAGGGAAAGTGGGGGGGGGGCGTGTTTCTGAAAATGGGTGGGTGCTGTATCCCTGCCGTGAACCTACATAGCAGGTTCCTTGGAATATGATTGCTCGTTGGCCGCTGACTGCACTGACTCACGTGCTTCACCCACCCACCCATCCCATGTGCCCTTGCATGGCTGCAAATCATGGCCACTGTTCCCGCTGCAATGATTCTGCCTGCCTTTGAGGCTCCTTCCATTACCGTCACTACACGTATACCACTTTCGGCACTGCACTGGCTCACATACCTATCCCATCCCATGTGCCGTTGCATTGCATGGCTGCAGATCATGGCCACTGTTCCCGCTGCAATGATCCTCTACGAGAAAGGTCTATTGGGTAGGCTGCTGCTCCTCCTCCTCCCCCCCTTCCCCCCTTCCCCACGCTGCATCTCCGCCCCATACTGCCCGCTCTGTATCTGCTCCTTTCGTTGCACCCATGGTCTATCATCAATCTCTCGGCAATACCAAACACGTAGTCTCCCCTCACCACCACCACTACCAGACTTAGATGCCCCACTGCATCGTTGCCAGCCTGCATACAGCACGAACGGGAAGCATGCGGTGTCGTTGCACATGCTGCTGACAAGCCTCTGAGGTGTTCTGAGCGACTTTGAGCGGCTGAGGTGTTTCTAGGCGTGTTTGATGTCACACTACCGAACCCCCTCCCACCCGCCACCACCACCACTACTACCAGACTTACAAGCCCCAGTGCATCGCTACCTACCTGCTTTCGGAGCAAACGGCAAGCATGTGGTGACGGTGCAGATGCTGCTGACGCACACCGCTGGGCTGAGGGAGTTCCACCCGTTCTTCGCCCTCCAGCTCTCCACTCGTCAGCAGGTGCGCGCTCTTGCCCTGAGACATCCAATACCCCCCCTATAGTCACATCACACCTGACTGACCGGATGTTCTTTTTGCCCTGTTTCACGTGACTCGGTCATAGGTGATTACTTTCCCATTGAATACCGCCTCTGGTACCCCATTATAGTCACATCTGACTGAGTGAGATCTTTTCCTTTCTCTTTCATGTGACACAATTGCAGGTGATTGACTGTATTATGGCAGACCGTCTTTGGTACCCCCCTATAGTCACATTACAACTGACTGACTGATATTCTTTTTTCAATATTTCATGTGATTCTATTGCAGGTGATTGACTTTATAATGGCAGACCATCTCTGGTATCCCCATATAGTCACGACTCGCTACAGCGACCTCTCCATGATTGTCCTCGCTCTCGTCATCGAGCGAATCACAGGCTGCCACCTCAGCACGTTCGTGCACCGGGAGATCTTCAGCCGGCTAAGCATGACTAGCACGGCGTACCGACCAATCCCAGGGCAGCACGCCAGCATGGGGGAAGCAAGGGATGTGGATCCGCGTGTGGTTCCCACGGAAGTGGACTCGCTGCATCGCAAGAAGCTGCTGTGGGGGGAAGGTGAGAGGAGGGGAGAGGTGAGGGGGAGGGGGGGGGCTTCAGGTGGAGAGTAGGAGGAGCAGGGGGAGAGGGAGGGTTGGGAAAGGTGGGTGGGAAAGGAACTGCAAGGGGTGTGGATTTGCGTGTGGTTTGCACAGAGGTGGACTGATTGCATCGCAAGAAGGTGCTGTGGGGGGAAGGTGAGAGGAGGAGGGGGTTGGTTCCCCCCCCTGTCGCCCCTTCGCTACACATGGATTGCACCCTACAACATGGATGATGGGGGCGTGGCGGGCCATGAGGTGTATTTTGCTGCTCTTCCACTATGAGCGAAGACCCTACGACATGGATGATGGGGGCGTGGCGGGCCATGCAGGGCACTTACAATCCACCTGCCTTGCCTCTCACTTACTTCCCAGCTGCACGTTCTCACTGCACCATCCCCTCTTCCCCCCTTTCCCTCTCCCTCCCTCTCCCCCTCCCTCCCATCCAGTGCATGACCCCACAGCATGGATCATGGGGTGCAGTGAGTCGATTTTTTAGTCGACTCAAAAATCGACTCACTACACGCTTTCGAGTCGACTCAAAAATTGACTCACTACACGCTTTTGAGTCAACTCAAAAATCAACTCTCCCCCTCCCTCCCATCCAGTGCATGACCCCACAGCATGGATCATGGGGGGCGTGGCGGGCCATGCAGGGTTCTTTCTGATTAGCCTGCCTTTCCGCTTTCTACCCCTCTTCTCTCCCCCCCTTCCCTTCCCCCTCCCTCCCCGCCAGTGCACGATCCCACAGCATGGATCATGGGGGGCGTGGCGGGTCATGCAGGGCTGTTCTCGACCATCCTTGATGTCGCCAAGGTAAGGTATCCTGCTCTGATACCATGGGAGAGAAAAGGACGTGCGTGTTGAATACAGAGAGAAGGACGTGCATGCATCCTAAGTTCTTTGGGACATGTCAAAGCATGGAAAGAAGGTGGTATGCATGCGAAAAGGGGAGGGAGCAGGGGATGGTATGGTATGCACCCTAAACCCTGGCAGGCGATGTGGGGTTCATCCACTTGGGGTGTGATTGTGTGGTTTGAGTCAACTAGAAATACATCGTCCACTCCACCATGCTATCAGGAGGCAGGCACGTACCCAACCCAGTCAGGGCAGCAGTCTGGTTCTCAGGCATCTCAAATCTTCCCCAACCCTCACTCCACTATCCCCCCCCTTCTCCCGCACCTTCCCATTCCTCCCATTCCCCCCCTTCCTCCTTCTCCACTCCTTTGTATCCAGTTTGCACGCTGCATGCTAGCAGGGGGCACGGATCCAACCACGGGGCATCAGCTCGTGTCATCAAACATGCACATTCCGTCTCTTCACCACACCCCCCCCTCCCTCCTGCTTTCTTCCCCTTTCTCTCCAGTTTGCACGCTGCATGCTAGCAGGGGGGACGGATCCAACCACGGGGCATCAGCTCGTGTCATCACACATGCACATTCCGTCTCTTCATCACACCCCCCCCTCCCTCCTGCTTTCTTCCCCTTTCTCTCCAGTTCGCGCGTTGCATGCTAGCAGGGGGCACGGATCCAACCACGGGGCATCAGCTCGTGTCATCACGCACTCTCCGCCTCTTCACCACGCCGCCCCCTCCTTCTGATCATAACCCTCGACCCTTTGCCCTCGGGTAATAACCCCTTGTTGTAGGTGTATTTCAAAGATTGTCCATATATGCCTCCGGTTACAAGCCTTGCCCCTTTGCCCTCGGGTGACTAGTCACTTGTGCTTGCTGGGATAACCTCGTTTTGTAGTCACTCGGATCTCGTTTTAAGAGTACCTTTTAACCTCACTTTTGGATTTGCCACACCCCTGTCCAATCCAACGATACTCACTCTTCCTCCGTTTTAACGACTTCTCTCGCCTTCTCTTATCCCTTTCTCCCTCCCATTTTTTCTCTCTCACTTCTGCTTCTCTGACTCGCTTTCTCTCAGGTGGGACGTGGCAAGCAGAAGAGGCAAGGATGGGTACACATCAGCGGGTCGATTCATGGGCCCACGTACATTTGGCCACACGGGCTTTACTGGTGAGACGCTGTGCTATGTCTTCTGAGCCTCTCGCCTCCACTTTCGTCATCGCCTGCACAAGCCTATTGTGTGAAAATCGATTGCTTACCCCCCACCACCCTTAGAAAAAAAAAAAAACAAAAAAAAGCAAAAACTAAAACTAAAAAACAACAAACAAACAAACAAACAAACAAAACACACACACACACACACAAAATGCTCACGCTGCCCTTAAACACCCTCTATCAGGGACGTCGCAAAATGCTCACGCCCCCGGATCGCAACACCTTTGTGGCGCTGCTCTCCAATGCCGTGCACCCCTCCGTGGTGAGCCGGATAATAAATCCTTTCTGCTTCGAATGCCCGCTCTCTCCTACAAACACCCTCCCATCAGGCACTTCGCTGTGGATAGACCCGGATCGCAACACCTTTGTGGCGCTGCTCTCCAATGCCGTGCACCCCTCCGTGGTGAGCCGGATAATAAATCCTTTCTGCTTCGAATGCCCGCTCTCTCCTACAAACACCCTCCCATCAGGCACTTCGCTGTGGATAGACCCGGATCGCAACACCTTTGTGGCGCTGCTCTCCAATGCCGTGCACCCCTCCGTGGTGAGCCGGATAATAAATCCTTTCTGCTTCGAATGCCCGCTCTCTCCTACAAACACCCTCCCATCAGGCACTTCGCTGTGGATAGACCCGGATCGCAACACCTTTGTGGCGCTGCTCTCCAATGCCGTGCACCCCTCCGTGGTGAGCCGGATAATAAATCCTTTCTGCTTCGAATGCCCGCTCTCTCCTACAAACACCCTCCCATCAGGCACTTCGCTGTGGATAGACCCGGATCGCAACACCTTTGTGGCGCTGCTCTCCAATGCCGTGCACCCCTCCGTGGTGAGCCGGATAATAAATCCTTTCTGCTTCGAATGCCCGCTCTCTCCTACAAACACCCTCCCATCAGGCACTTCGCTGTGGATAGACCCGGATCGCAACACCTTTGTGGCGCTGCTCTCCAATGCCGTGCACCCCTCCGTGGTGAGCCGGATAATAAATCCTTTCTGCTTCGAATGCCCGCTCTCTCCTACAAACACCCTCCCATCAGGCACTTCGCTGTGGATAGACCCGGATCGCAACACCTTTGTGGCGCTGCTCTCCAATGCCGTGCACCCCTCCGTGGTGAGCCGGATAATAAATCCTTTCTGCTTCGAATGCCCGCTCTCTCCTACAAACACCCTCCCATCAGGCACTTCGCTGTGGATAGACCCGGATCGCAACACCTTTGTGGCGCTGCTCTCCAATGCCGTGCACCCCTCCGTGGTGAGCCGGATAATAAATCCTTTCTGCTTCGAATGCCCGCTCTCTCCTACAAACACCCTCCCATCAGGCACTTCGCTGTGGATAGACCCGGATCGCAACACCTTTGTGGCGCTGCTCTCCAATGCCGTGCACCCCTCCGTGGTGAGCCGGATAATAAATCCTTTCTGCTTCGAATGCCCGCTCTCTCCTACAAACACCCTCCCATCAGGCACTTCGCTGTGGATAGACCCGGATCGCAACACCTTTGTGGCGCTGCTCTCCAATGCCGTGCACCCCTCCGTGGTGAGCCGGATAATAAATCCTTTCTGCTTCGAATGCCCGCTCTCTCCTACAAACACCCTCCCATCAGGCACTTCGCTGTGGATAGACCCGGATCGCAACACCTTTGTGGCGCTGCTCTCCAATGCCGTGCACCCCTCCGTGGTGAGCCGGATAATAAATCCTTTCTGCTTCGAATGCCCGCTCTCTCCTACAAACACCCTCCCATCAGGCACTTCGCTGTGGATAGACCCGGATCGCAACACCTTTGTGGCGCTGCTCTCCAATGCCGTGCACCCCTCCGTGGTGAGCCGGATAATAAATCCTTTCTGCTTCGAATGCCCGCTCTCTCCTACAAACACCCTCCCATCAGGCACTTCGCTGTGGATAGACCCGGATCGCAACACCTTTGTGGCGCTGCTCTCCAATGCCGTGCACCCCTCCGTGGTGAGCGAAACTTTTCTCAGGAATTCGCCACATTGCCGGTCTATCACCGTTCGTCCCTCTTTGCCAACGCTGCATTCACCACTCTTGACCAACTGGCCCTCTTGCTACTTTGGCTCATTTCCACCCTCACCCCTCCCACACCTGCACCCTCTCCATCTTCCCTCCAGGACACCCCTTCGGCCCTCACCGTTCGCGACGTGCGTCCTCTCATAGCAGCGCTGCTGTCACCACGCTCGGCCAATTGGGCCTCTTGCTACTTAGGCTCACTCCCAACCTACCCTCACCCTCTCCCCCTTCCCCATCCAGGACACCCCTTCGGCCCTCACCGTTCGCGACGTGCGTCCTCTCATCGCCAACGCTGCTGTCACCACGCTCGGCCAATTGGGCCTCCCTCGGCGCACCCTCACCTGGCATCTGGGCTCACAGTCACGCACACAATCAGGCGCACAGACAGGTGTTGAGAGTGGTGACAAGGTCAGTGCAGAAACAGGCCCACAGACCGTAGATGGCACAACAAGGGTACAAGCGGCGAGGCGAGCAGAACGAGGAGCAGGTGGAGCAGGAGAGGCAGGATCAGGAGCAGGAGCAAGAGCAGGAGGGGCAGGAGGGGCAGCAGCAAGAGCAGGAGGGGCAGGAGAAGCAGCAGCAGGAGGAAAATCTCGTGCAGACTCGATATTTGGCGTATCTCAAAACTCAGCAGCACCAGTAGGGGAAGCACCTTGTGCACTGCCGCAGCCATGCCGACCGGCTGTGGGTTGCGAAGCAGCAGGGGCGTGCGAGGCTCTAGTTGGGTGCCAAGCTGGTTGCATGCGTGGAGCAACAGAGGCATGCAGATTAGGTGGGGGTTGTGAGGCAGGTGGGACGTGTGAAGCAGACCATGGGCGCCAACCCAGCTGCATGTGTGGAGCAGCATTGATGTGTAGATCAGATGGGGGTTGTGAGACAGGTGGGGGTTGTGAGGCAGGTGGGGCTTGTGAGGCAGCAGGAAACCCAAGTGAGCATTGTATTCATGTTAACCAGAGGATGGCATGTGCCAGCTCTTCATCAGGTTGTGTAGCCAGCAGGTTTGTGGCAGCAAGTGTCTGCTTGGAAACGAAGCAGCAGCAGCAGCAGCAGCAGCAGCAGCAGCAGCAGCAGCAGCAGCAGCAGCAGCAGCAGCAGCAGCAGCAGCAGCAGCAGCAGCAGCAGCAGCAGCAGCAGCAGCAGCAGCAGCAGCAGCAGCAGCAGCAGCAGCAGCAGCAGCGGCAGCAGCAGCAGCAGCGAGCTATTCCTTGCGGTTATGCTGGCGCTAGGTGTGGCGGTAGGTGTGCGCTGGAGGGGTCCTCCTCAGCTAGGCGAAGAACTGGTGGTTGTGAGGAAAGGGTGCGGCATAAAGGGAAGGATACACCTGTGTTGCTTCGATGGCTCACAAAGTTTAAGAGGGAGCATATAGCTAGAGGTGGGCTTGTACTCCTTGTCACTGCCTTCATTATTGTGTTCTGAGTGCAAATTATTTTGCCGTGAGGAATGCTCTTGCAACTCCTTCCTGCCACGTGGCACACACCTCATTCAACTGAAAAAACAAAAGTGGTAGGAGGTATGGACTGGCATGGCATACGCACTTTTTGAAAACAACACCACTTACACACATCAATCAACCCGTTCGCTTCGTCTGTTATTAACGCAAACCATCACATCACACTAGCTGGCTGATGCTGGCTGCTCTATCTTTGATAGTAGGGTACGACATGTCATGCTCTGCTGTCTCCTTTGCCTTCTTCTCCTGTCAATTCAGCCTGTTCTTGGATTATCTTGCCCGCTCCCCTTGTCGTTGCCTGCTGCTGGCACTGCGGCTAAGTTGACGCTGGGGCTGCAGGGGTGGTGGGTGGCGTAGCGAGCTGTGTAGCAGAATAACTGCGAGGCAGCGAATGGAGAGGAGATGGGGGGAATTAGGGTTTAAGGAGTAAACAGTGGGGTACAGGGGAGATGGGTGGTGACGCAGGCTGTGCAGCAGGATAACTACAGAGATGGAAGAGGAGGCAGGCTGGGGGGTTACTAAATCAAGAAGGCAGACAGCTTACCAAAGAGGGTGAGGCTGAGGGCGAGTGATAGAGCCGGCACAACTCTGAAGCAGAATGCTACCACCCACAGGGCTGGTGAGTCGGGAAGGGAGGGACAAGACGAGAGAGGAGGGTATGGCTTTGAGTCGACAAAAAAAAAAAAAAAAAAAAAAAAAAAAAAGGGCACAACTTTGAAGCAAAAGGCCACCATCCTAAGGGCTGGTGGGTTGGGAGGGGGGTAGTGGGGATGACAAGGAGAGAAACCAAGGCGAGGTGGAGAGAGAGGATCGTGTGGTAAGTGCACAGAAACAGACCCCAAAGGCGCACCTAGATGCAGGCAGTCTTGATTTTTGAGGCGCCTCAAAAATTGAGAAACCAAGGCGAGGTGGAGAGAGCGGATGGTGTGGCAAGTGCACAGAAACAAACCCCAAAGACGCAACTAGATGCACCTAGCTGCAGCAGGAATTGGCATTTGTGGAGGCGCCAGCTGTCCTTGTGCACTCGCAGCACCTTGTGAGTCGACCCTCTACCCCAAACCCGCCCCTAGTCATCCGCAGTCCTTCCCCCCCCTCCCCCCCAACCGGACGCACCTAGCTGCAACAGAAAGCGCCCTGCGTGCAGGCGCCAGCTGTCCTTGTGCACTCGCAGTGCTGCGTTGCACTTTTTCAGCTCGTGCCACAGCCGCACCAGCGCTGCCAGTCCCGCACATGCCACTGGCCGCTTGTACCTGCAGGAGGGTGAGTAAGCACAGACGGACGGACGGATGGACGGATGGAGGGGGGGAATGGAAACCTGGAAAGCTGCAGCTCGTGTGTTGGGGGTGGAGGAGGGAGTGGAGGGGGGATGGGGAATGGGATGGAGGGGGAAGGTGGTGCGGAGGAGCGACCGGAGGGGAACAAGGTCGGGTATGGGATACAGGGAAAAAAGGAGGCAACGAGGGTACATTCTAGGGATATGGGGGAAACAGGGCAGGGGAAGAGGGAACCGGGAAGCACGCGGAGAAAGCGGCGGATATGCGGCTAATACTGACTGTCAGGCGAATCACGAGGTCACGTACATGACGCAAACGAGGAAAAATAGAAGAACCCGGAGGTAGTTTCCCAGAAACTCCACAAAATTCGAGTCCACTCGCCTCCCCATTTCCGTCCAGCTGCCCGGAAGAGAATACGCTGACCGTATTTGACCCCAACCGTAAAACAAATCCGTCCACGGTAGAGGCGGCTTCTTGAGATCCTCTATCGTTAGCATCGATATACGACTGGACGGCGCTGCTGTAACTGATCGCCGAGATCCGTTATAAGGAGGCGCGTTTCCAGCACCGGACGAGCCTTCTCGACCTCCTCGCCATCTGTTAACGTCATCCGTTGGATCTAACGAATCTACACCGTCCCCCTGTGCTCGCCGGAGCGCCTGGTCCTGAAGTAACGCGTGGACTTGTTCTGGCGGGAACGCAAGCGATAAGGGGTTCTGTGCGAACGCCATAGGCGATCTCGCCTGTTACCCTGTCGCCAATCTCGGCTTTCTGCCTTGATATGCCTCCGGTTACCCTGTCCTGGATCCTGCCTGCCTGTAAGCTTATTGTAAGCCCTACCTGCCCGTTGCCCTAACTTATAAATGATGTTTCTCGAATCAGTTGCGAATGTGGATCAGGCGCAGAGGCAGATTGGCAGGATCACTGAGGCGCGGGTCGCGGGAGGGTTGCGTTGCGAACGTTGCAGCACCTGTATCAAGTGCTGCCAGGATGACATGGGGAAATGGTCATACGGGAAACTCGAGGTCAGAGGGGAACTTCGAGGGGGACGGGTCACAAGAGGGTGAGTGCTTCTTCCTCACGAGATTTCCGATTTTTATCTTCATGAGAAGAACAAAACATCAGCATGATGGAGACGCTTCTAACGGGTCCTAACACAAACAAGCAACCGGCAACATAGCATGATCGTATCCTTGAACTTCACCTCAAGTTTGCTCACTTCATATCGGTGCGTACACCAGCGAGAACGCAAAGCTGACCTGTCGAAACCTGGTCATCCACCACACATCGAACTTGCCACGCTTGCACCCGCCAAATTGCGACACGGCGGACAGGGAAAACACGGAGGACTTCGCAGTCCTCTCAGTCAACCCGGCCTAACCTCCTGCTGTTCCGTGCTCCGCTGGAATCATTTCCCGAACCGCAGTTTCTTCGTCGACAGTTCAACCGGCATTCGCTGAAACTCCCCGTCGTCGCAACAAATCGGTCTTGCGCGTCGCGCAATTCCACATCGTCGCAGGAGAGGAATTCGCCTTGCTGTCAGCACAACCACAAGCAAACAAGCAAAGGTCGTTCTGTCTTCCTCTCTCATCTCAATCCCCGTCAGCTGTCCCTCCCCTCCTCATCCCCCCCTCTCCCTCACACCGTTGCCCCTCGCCCCTCGCCCCTCGCCCCTCGCCCCTCGCCCTCTTCCCTTTCCCCCTCTCGTCCCTCGTCCCCCGCCACCTCTCCCTCTTCCCCTGCTCATTTCTCCCCCTCCTCCCAAACTTTTATACCCACGCCATATTACCAAGATCGTAATACAAAACGCCTTGAGTGGATTTCCATATCCATCATTTTAGACTCTGTTTCTTTCACATATGAGCATCACCATTCCGCATCATCATTCCAAAAGGCGCTTTACGGCTCCTTATTTGTTTTTTAGCTCCTGAAGCAGCTTGTCGAGTCCTGTTCGACTCCTACCGCAACTAGTAGAATCATCGACCGAGACCTTAATTGTTTACCAGCAGCACCCGTTACCACAGGTTGAACTCAGCTCATACCCACCAAATCCTGATGAAGAACTGTGCGATTCCCTTCCTTCTCCTCGCCGTCGTTTGGACCGTCGCACCGATCACCCACGCGTCGCGCGTTTTAAAGGCCGCAACGCCAGAATCGTGGGATTCGCCGCCGGCGGTGGTGGTGGGGGTCAATTTCCTCCCGGCTCGTCCGCGAAGAGAGCTCCCGACAACGAACACGGCAGTCGGAGGATCCTTCGGCGATATTAGCGAAAATCCCAGCAGTACTGGAAACGCCCCGGCGACAAGTCGCACGCGACGAGTTCTAGCGAGCGACTACTTTTACGATGAAGAAGATAGCGGCGACAGCGGCGGATCGTACGGCCAAGACTACTCGGGCGGCGCGTGGGAGCCTCCCAGGCCTCAAGCGGGCTATGTCGGCTCGACTGATACGGGCGGAAGCACGGAAGAGGAGGGGGGGGATGGCGGCGAGGACAGCGGGGGAGACTCGACCTGGGTAGACGAGCCAATAACAAGCGATTTCAGTGACGGCGACGGCGGCGAGGAAAGCGGCGGCGATGGCGGCGGGTTCTGGGACGAACTGTGGAGCAAGTGGGGGTGGGATTCGTCGGAAGAGCCGGATACGATCACTGGCGCGGACCCCGGGATTGGCTGGAGCGACGACGGAAGCGGCGGCGGCGACAGCGGCGGCGACAGCGAGTGGACGGATGACGGCAGTGGCGGAGGTGACGGGGGGTCGAGCGATTGGTCAGACGGCGGGTCTAATAACGACTGGTCGAACGGTGGAACGAGCGGCGGAAGCGGATGGGGGAATCCGTACCCTGGGTATGGTTGGGTCGGCTCTACTGACACCGGCGGTAGCACGGATGAGGGCGGCGAGGAGGCGCAATACAGCAGTCTGACAACAACCAGCGGCGACGACGGCAGCAGTAGCAGCGCCAGTAGCAGCGCGAGCTCTAGCAGCAGTACGACTGTCAGCAGCAGTGTGACGTCCGGAGGAGCGAGTGGTTCCGTGACTCCTCTCTTTCCAGACGAGGGCTCAGCGTCCCCTCCCCCATTTATAGACGATTCTACCGTCTACCCCCCAGAAGCTCCCCATCAGGGCTCCGCCTCCCCTCCCCCGTCCCGCGGTTCTCCCGACCGTCCACTCCCCACGCCCCCTGGCCATCCATCTAACGGTCCCCAACCTCCGAGGAGTCCTCGCCCACCAAACGGTTTGCCTCCTCCTGCAGCAGCTGATATTCCCGTGCCAAAGCCACCGCACGTGCCTGGTGGTCCCACTACCCCTCCTCCTTCTGGCGTTCCCGCTGTTCCAACACCGCCCCCTGATGTTCCTCCTACCCCTGCTCCTCCCACTGATGGAAACGTCGTTCGTGCTCCCTCTGACGGCTCTACTACCCCCATTTTCCCCCCTGACGGCCCAACCACCCCCGTCCCCCCGCCTGACGGCTCTACCACCCTCATTCCCCCGCCAGACGGCGCCACCACCCCTCCGCCCCCTCCTGATAGTCCTCCTGACGGCGCAACCACCCCTGCCCCTCCCTCAACCTGCGTCATGGACCAAGGGGCCGTGCAGGCAGCCCTCTCGTGGGCGTGTGGCGCCGGTGGCGCTGACTGCTCCGCTATCCAGCCCGGCGGCGCGTGCTACGAGCCGAATACACTCGCCGCGCACGCGTCTTACGCGTTTAATCTGTATTATCAGCAGCGCGCACACGCGCCCGGGACCTGCTTCTTTGGAGGGACGGCTGTGGTGGTGCCGGCTCTGCCTGATTACGCGCCTGAGACTGGAGGCTGCAAGTACGCTGAGGGGAATGCTCAGTACTGTGTGGTAGGCTGCAAGTGAGAGAATAAGCAGCCCATACATTATATGTGAGGGCGCTGGTGATGTGGTTGCTCCAGTAGCTTTGTGTATAGGGGAGTGGGAATTCATGGCTGGGGTTCTAGACTAGGTGTGGCATAACATTGCTGTGTGCTATCTATTCGTATACCATGGTACGATTTCAAAACTGAAAACCCTGGAAACCCAGAACCATATGAAGTAATCAAGCAAATAATTCGTAATATGTGCGGACAATAGTTTGCAGCAGAAAAGGTTGTTGGCACTACAAACAGGGTGTTGTGTACCGGTCCATCTGAAAGGGTGAGTGTGTTGTAGTCCATGTCAACATGGCCTTTTCAGATTGAAGCTCACATGCGTTCTGCGTTGGGAATCGGGATGTAATTGCCACGTGCCTCCAATTCACTCACGTAAAAATTGCTGAAATTTGGCTGTAACCTGGTTCGTTTGATTACATCCATTGTATTCAATTCTCACGTAATAATACGTAATCTGGAGGGCCTGTTTCATGTTGAGATTGCTGCATGCTTAGGTTATGTCACTTGGATAACCTAGAATAAACTGCACATAGAAGCAAGAGTGGTATAATCAGTTTGTGGGAGTTGAAACTAGATACGAGAAGCGCAATAATGGGCAAAGACAGGTGACGTGACGACTTTCCCTTTGCTTCACCTCCTTGTCGTCGTGCGTGTCCTGGCCAAAGGTGTTGTTTTGCCAGACCTGCCTATGCGACCTCGGCGAATTTGTCCACCTCAGCGACAGCTATCCCCCAGGCCCCGTTGACTCCAGGGAAGCAAGCGATTCGCACTGGCAGCGTCCCGGGTTCTCCGTGCTCGTACCGAGTCTAGCAAACTTGTACTCCCTCGTCAACCCTGCCATTGGAGAATTCGCTTGTTGTCAGTCCTGCGAAGAATGATATGCTGCGGTGGAATTGTTCAATTGTTTCGCATGCCATTTCCAGCTCCTTTCAATCGTTGATTTCGCATGCCATTCCGATGCCAGCGGAGAGCATCTTTCTTTCCTCTCGCAACTCAACTCCACCCCTCTCCTCCCCACCTCGCTGGCCAGAAGCCAAGTCAAACGACGTCCCAAGTACAGAACCACCCTTCTCTGCTTCTAACTTAGAACAATATAAAGACGCAAGAACTTCTCGAGCCACTCATCTCTTTTTGCAATCTAAGTAGACATTCCGCAGCTGCTTCTCGCATACCGTCTTTTCGCTCTTGGAATCTCGCGTGAACCATTCTTATATTTTTTCTTTCTTTCTTCAAGCACCACGGTCATGAAGCCGCTTGTGTATGCCATCCTCCTGCTCGTCCTCCTCGGTACTCTCGATGCCGCGCTCGCGCGACCCAAGAGGGCGCGCCCCAAGCGCGCAAGCCCCGCGGTGTTTATGGACGGGCGGCCCTGGTATCCTCCCCCGCAAAGGTTCCGTCCCAAGCGCGCCAGCCTCGCGCACCCGCTGCTAGACCAGCGCGAGCCGTCTCCGCGGAGGTTCCGTCCGAAGCGCGCCAGCCTCGCGCACCCGCTAATGGACCAGCGCGAGCCGTCTCCGCGCAGGTTCCGCCCGAAGCGCGCCAGCCCTGTTCACGCGGCTGAAAGCGCCCCGATTTCTCCGCGGATGTTGCGCGGAGGAGGCTACGAGTTCATCCGCGATGAGCCTGTGGCTCGCTATAGCACTATGGACCCGACTGATTACTACACTTCGGATTGGTATACTCCCGAGTCGTCGTACTGGACTGACCCCGGCTATGGGGGGCTGTACGATTATGGCACCGACTACTACGGTTCTGATTGGTCTGGATACGGTACAGATTGGTCGGGATATGATACTGGTTCGTCTGGATCCACTGCTGACCAATACTGGTCTGAATTTACTGATTGGTGGGACGAAAGGCATCCATGTGGGGGGTATGGTGACTGTAGCTCGTACTCGTATGGATACTAGTCTTTGTCGAAGGACCATGGATGTGTATCTCTTTGGTCTCCTTTGTCAGCGCAGCACGGATCGTACAGGAGGGCGGGGATTCAGCTTTATTCCCCTCGGCGATTCGCCTCATCACGTGGCCAGTTGTGAGGGGAAGTTAGATTATGATCAGGGGATTATGAGGGGTGTGTGTGTGTGGCACCTATTCTGGACTTTCCAAGTTTTCATACTGGCTTGTATATACTTCTCACGGGAGTTTATTTTCCTGTTGTTGCGAGTCACCAATCAGGTTTTGTGAGGTTGTACAAAATCAGTGAATCATGTTAGGTTTATATTCATATGGTGCTATCGCAAATGTACCTACGTGCAGAAATGTGATTACCAGTTTCAAACATAAACGCAGTGCTTGAAGGAAAGAGAATTGGCAGCATTGGCTGACATAGAAGAACCTCCAAAACTACACATGTTATTATGAGGCGAGCCATGGGCTGGCTTGGCTACCAGTGTGGTGGTCTTATAAATCCATGTTTCCCTCTGCGCTAGTCTCTCACGACTTTCAAGCATCACTTGGTACTACGGTACTCCACAAGCCATAACCATATACGCCTGATTCTCACGATATGTTTGCGGTAAGATAGTTTGTACTGTGGTTCGTCTACTGTATCAGCATTCTCTTGCTCCACGCAATGAATTGCATCAGTAATAACTGGTAGGTAGCGATTTAAGTTACTACGATTAACTCAACGCGTTTACAGAATAATGTTCACATGTATTGCGTGATTCCGCGGGTGGCACCACCACATTTGAGTAGATCCCTACGACTGTGTCGTCCTACCACTTTCGAACACCGCAGTCCTCTAGTAAAAAATCATGCCTTTCAGACTTATCCATTACTAGTATTAGAAACCGCCGCCTATACCATTACTAATATAGTGTTATGTAATTACGATAGTTAATAACTTGTGGTTTCACATATCCGCACTTGAGACACTAAGCTCACTGTACCTCGATTTTCTGTGCATATCCGTGAGATGGGTATGAACAATAAAGGAGTTATATTTATGAAACAGCTGTAACCTTGGCATTGAATTGCAAGACCCCAATGTGTTGGCTCGGCGAACTTCGTCCACCTCAGTGAACGCCGTTCACCAGCTCGTCGTTGACTCCGGGGGAAGCGAGCGAGTCGCATTGACAGCCCCACCAGTTCGTTCCCTTCGCACCGAGTTGCTCTTGTTAGCTCCGCGAAATTTACCTCAATTCCACACGTCAGCGCTGCGAAAAGGAATTCGCCTCGTTGGAATCGCTTGCTCGTTCGCGCTCTCATCTCATCCCATCCCACACATACCAACAAGGCGGAACCTTTCTTTCACTCCCTCCCTCCTTTGACTTCCTCGACTTCATTTCCATCTCCTCCCACCTCGAGTTGTGGAGGCAAACCACACCAAGAACCCTCGAGTTTACATCCGTTCCCAAATACGCCCGAGTATAAGAACGCAATGAATCCGCCTAACAAGGACATTCTAACGCAACCATTCATAACTCCTGAGAAGGATTAGATTTGCCTTTTCTAATTCCCTCGTATATCCCTGACGTTTCTTCTTGAATTGTAGATTCACGCGCGTGTTTCCAACAGCACTAGAAATTACTCCAAGCCCAACCATCGCGATGAGACCGCTCGTGTACGCCATCCTCCTGCTCGTCCTCCTCGGCACTCTCGATGCCGCGCTCGCGCGACCTAAGAGGGCGCGCCCCAAGCGCGCAAACCCCGCGGTGTTCATGGACGGACAGCCCTGGTATCCTCCCCCGCAAAGGTTCCGCCCCAAGCGCGCCAGCCTCGCGCACCCGCTGCTAGACCAGCGCGAACCGTCTCCGCGGAGGTTCCGCCCAAAGCGCGCCAGCCTTGCGCACCCGCTGCTAGACCAGCCCGAACCGCCACCATTTAGGTTCCGCCCCAAGCGCGCCAGCCTTGCACACCCGCTGATGGACCAGCGCGAACCGTCCCCCCGTCGGTTCCGCCCCAAGCGCGCCAGCCTCGCGCATCCGCTGATGGACCAGCGCGAGCCGTCTCTGCGGAGGTTCCGCCCCAAGCGCGCCAGCCTCGCGCATCCGCTGATGGACCAGCGCGAGCCGTCTCCGCGCAGGTTCCGCCCGAAGCGCGCCAGCCTTGTTCACGCGGCTGAGAGCGCCCCTAGCGCTCCGCGGATGTTGCGCGGAGGAGGCTACGAAATTATTCGCGATGAGCCTGTGACTCGCTATAGTACGGTGGACCCGAATGATTATTATCCGGAGTGGTACACTCCCCCGACATACTGGACTGACCTGGGATACGGTAGCAGCTGGGACTATGGTAGCGACATGAGCCCTTACGGCGATACCTACGTGAACATGGATGTGGATTATAATAATGGTTATGGCAATGATTGGTTGTATGGAGGGTATGGCTCAGGGTACGGCGGGTATGACTCTGGGTACGGTGGATATGGAGACTCTGGATATTATTAAGGTTTGTCGCAGGGGTATGGATGGGTTTGGGCTTTGCTAGGGATTGCTCTCTCACCACAGGGCAAGGAGGAGAGATCTAAGATTTCGTTCTTCAGATAGGGATGTCGGCCTTCAGAATACGGGTGTTGGTCGTGGGGATTAATGTCCTTTATGGAGTGCTCGCTTACATCAAGTGGAGTTTTCCTTTTCGTTGTGTGAATATGTGCATGTGACATTTTTATCCGATAGGTATGTTTTATTCTCTGCTTTTGTAATTAGTGTTCGGGATCCGTTTCAAGTTCTGATGTTGAATTATACAAAAATATTTTTTTTTTGTCAAGCACGTAGTTTGTATGTTCGATTATGCAATTCTTACACCTGCAAGAATATGCTCACATAAGATAGCTGGAAACATACCATTACCCACCGTTGGAACACAAAACTATGCATCAAGAAACCTAACAGCCTCTGTACCGTATTTTTGGGTTGCGGAGCAACCTATTGCAATCGACTGGACCTAGCTTTTTTTTTTTACACGGATTTTTTTTAATAACCAAAAAAAATGTTAAATAAAAAGAGGAAAACTTTGTACAATGTTGAGTTGATACGGTTAATCATATCTTATCTTTCAAACGTGATTGTGCTTTATAATAACTTAACTGGCCACGACCACTCCATATATTTCGTCCGTAAAATAGTCATCTCATCTACATATTTTCGCACAACTTTGAACTCTGAGAACATTAGTGAAATACAATGACCGACCATCCAAACGATCATTGTATTTCTTCTTGTGTATACCATCTAGTATACACGAGACGAGACGTAAGCATATTCATCAAATAAATTGATGAATATGTTTCATTTGAACGAACAAACATTTTGTGTCAGTTAACGAAAAAAATTATTATACTACCGCTTCCCCAGCCTAGCATGGGGGGAAGTCAGCAGTATTAACAAAACCAACGCAATACAATCTGCAAATCTCAAAGAAACATCTACACCGATCAAGTCCAGCTGAAAATGGCTTCACTGTCATAGTGGTGGACCACTCAACCTTTTGTGACGATGATCGGCAAGATATCTCTTTGAGGTATGCAGACATGCATTACGGTTGCAAAAAGAAGCATGTACAAACGGAAATGAAACAAATCAAACAATTACTCAAATTTTAAATTAACTCCAACAATTGCACTACAAGTTGTACGAAAAATTCCTTTCCATCCCACCAATGAACCAGTATCTGCAATAACAAAAATACAAGCAACGAATGCAAGAAAAAGGAAAGAGTAAAAAAAAAATTCAAGCTTAGAAGAAACAAACTGATAAAATGAAGAGAATGGCTGTTGAAGATAAGCAACTCCACAAGCTAGCCTCTGTATCACAAATAGCAGGGAAAGGCACGAAACTAACGACACAATATCATACATTAGCTAAACATATGAGTTGGGAACGTCGTAGTAGAGAACAGATGAAAGCAATAGAAGATAATACGGATGTGGGCAAGGAATGTAGAGATAATACAAGAAAGAACGGCAAAATGAATGAAGTGAACACGAAGGCATAAGGCAGAAAAGAACTAGATAACAAAATAAAAGAACTAGATGTTAAATCAGATGGGGAAATAAAGGACAAGATACAATCAGAAAAGGAACCAAAGACCGAGATAGGATGAAGTGAGAGAGTGGAGGAAAGTAAGAGGGAAAGTCTACATAATGAAGATACCATCAAAACTGGTTCAGACATGACTAGAATAGAGATATGAAAAAAGGAAAACACACAAAACGAATATAAAATACATCATTAGGGAGTCAAAAGAAATGAAGAAACGTGTTAGGAAGGAAAAGAAGAACCATAAGAAACAAATCACAGCGTTTAATGTGGTAACAAAGGAGCACAATAAGACTCATTCGAAATTAAAGGAAGAATCAGGATAGAAACGAAAACGTTGAAGAACTACGGTTGAAGGGGGGATGGGAAAGAAAAAGGCAGAGAAACCTACTCGAGCAAAATCACAGGAGTTAAAGAAAGAGAGAGAGAGGCAGACGGACAAGGGAGAGAGGCGGAAGAAAGTAATATGGTGAAAGGAAGAAAGTCTGTCGCTGAACATAGGAGAGCTAATAAAAGAAGGGAAATAAGAAGTGTGATGGTGATTAGAATATGCAAGGGAGGAAGGAATGCAAATAGATAAGGTAGGAAGGAAGGTGAACAGGTAAGGACGAAAAGGAAGGTAAAAAGCAAAGGAAGGAAGAAATGTAAACGGGTAAGGGTGGAAGGAAGAGTAGGTAAACAGGTAAGGCAGGAAGAAATGAAGATAAACAGGTAAGGGACGAAAGAATGAAGGTAAACAATGAGGAATGTAAACACGAAGTAAGGAAGGAAGGTAAACAATAAGGGGAGGGTGGTAAGCAGGAAGGAAGGAAGGTAAACAAGAAGGAAGGAATGAAGGTAAATAGGAAAGACGGAAGGAAGGAAGGAAAGAAAGGAGAATCTAAAATCGACGAAAAACATAGAAGGAAGCTTGGGACGAAATTGCTAACTAGCTTGCTGTTATTTGATCTCTTAGAACTTCCCAGCGTTAAACACGAAAACAGCAAAATAGTTCAATTACTGAGAATAAAAGGAGAAGGATGAGAATGAGGACACTAAGAAAAACAGAGAGATTCGAAGTGGGAATAAAGCGGCGGAAAACATTGGAAGAGAAGTAGAAACAACTCTTATGGTTATAATGACAAGCACGGGTGGAGAACGGTCAAAGCAGGGAATAAAGAAAGCTGCGGAGAGGCAAGAGTGCGGAGGCATAGAGAAATGTCTATGCTAATTAACTCTACTAAAGTCAAAATAGTCTCTAAGGCCCACCTCTATAAAAACGAAAGTAGGAGATGTGAGAGTAGGAAGAGCAGCAGTTGGTAGCTGGAGCAAACGGATGACAGCGGGATGACACGGGACAGCAAAGGGAAAAAGAAATCGAAAACCCTAAGAGGTTTGTTAATTGTCGAGATTTTACTTAGTGTATAATGTTCAGTCTAGCAGATAAGCAAGTGAATTAGCTGGTCTTCGTTGCGCTACTTATCTGGATGGTCGCGGGATCGATTCCAGCAGCGCGCAGTTGTAGTAGTTACAGTAGGTTTTTATGTATCTACACTTTAAATTTTTGTAGAACACAACTTTGGTACTAGTTTTTGTTGTCCTTAGTAGTTACAGTAGGTTTTTATGTATCTACACTTTAAATTTTTGTAGAACACAACTTTGGTACTAGTTTTTGTTATCCTTAAACTTCATCATTCCTTACTCCACACAAACGTGGACAGAGTATGAGCAAGCAACAACGTCAAAATGTGCGTGTTCTGAGAGCTCCGCAACCCTAAGACGATTTCGTCGACTCTTGTTTTTTTTACAACAGCTGCACGGGGATTTATGCTACATCCGCCACTCCACTCAGTGCGCTCCAACCTCCAGCTCCAGATCAAAGTGGAACACGCCTGCACCCATGCAAGCATCCATTTGATCAGCACATGTACATACATAATGAAGTGACTTAAAAGAGGGCGGATGTGAATCATCTTACCATGACCCTTGCCAACACGTCTCAGCTGGGCGACATAGTCTGACACTTGCTTGATGGCATCAACCTGGACGTAACAAACCAGCCGTAAGTTATAGACGCAACAGTGTTGTCAACGAGCACAACCAGGTCCAACCATACAACAGACAAAGAATAAACATAATGATAAATACCTGCTCGTTCAGGAAGTTACCCTCCAGGAAGTCGGTAAGCTGAACATCTCCAGCATCAGATGCCACCTGCATAACCATCACCAATACATTCAATTCTCGGTTATTGACTTCCTTCGAGTTGAACAGCACAAAACACGTAGTCATCTAACCATCCGACCAGCATGAGATAGACTTAAGAACCCAGAAACCTGCGACTCATACCTTGTGAAGGGCCAACAGCTTCTCGTTAACCAACTTCTCAAGAGCCAAGGTAAGCTCCATCGCTGCAAGACAACAGCCCAACGGTGCAAAATTAAACAGTGCAAGCTCAAAAGCCCAAATCCCGACCTTAAACCCGAAACTGCAAAATTGTTTTCAACCCACAAGAAAGCGGAATGCAGACGCACCGTAAAGAGCATCGCCCTTCTCAGGGTGATCGAATTCCATGGTCGCGGGCATCAGAATGGACTGCAGCTTCACCCGGCCACCACGCTTGTTCTGCGGAAAGAAAACCCAAATCCAAAAACGCGTGTAAGTGTGTAAGCCATGCCATCCCACAGCCCTCAAGTACATAATCTGATTGTGATTGTATGACCTAAATGGATTCATTGATACGTTACAACCAATGAACGCACCTGATACTCCATTAGCATCTCTGCATGCTCGCGCTCCTCGTTGCTGGCTGCCTTGAAGTACCTGCATTCAGGTAGAAGATGCCAGCAAATAATGTCAAGACATTCCTACACCAGCTCCCTTGTCTGTAACGCTTCGAAATTACAACCCTCCTCGAATGATCGAAATGCGGCTGCGGAATCGGGATGTGAATGCGCAAGAGTTGGACTACATTCTCAAGGAAAAACACAGGTCAGCTTACTTGGCAAAGCCTGGCAGGGCCACGTTGTCGCGGTCGAAGTAGCAGTACAGCGCATGGTACACATACGAGATGTTGTACTCGATACTGCACGAAACATCAACCAGGAAACAACCCTCAAAATCCGATCAGCACCCGTCCCCACCCTTTAAATAGAGAAATATTATCCCTCCAAATATTGAAGTTAAAAACTAGCCGTCGGAAAAGCTTGCTCGAAAACTCACTTGATCTGCTCGTTGATCCCAGCCTCGGCGGCCGAAGAGTAGTTTTGCCGGGCAAACGACTCCTGCGGCTGGATGACAGCGGGAACCTGGGTAAGCTGGCTCTGCACCTCGGCGAACGGCTCGAACACAACGCCGGTCAACGTCGCCTCCGCTGTGGGCTTGGCCTCAGCGCGAACACCCTTGCGAGCTCCAGGTTTGACGAACGCGGGAGCCGGCTTGTTGTCCGATAGGGACCGACGGCCGGCAATGGTCTGGCCAAAGCTGGCAACGGATCGAGCCGCGGAGGTTGAAAGAGACGCCGCCATTACTGAGGGTGTCTTTGTCTGGATCAACTGGTACCACCTCGAGATCTGCGAGACAACGTGCGTGCCCTAATAAGGAACGAGAACAAAGAAAGCAGCTGAATCCAGGTACGATCTAAGACATATGACATAAATCCCAAGGCGGGAACTCACCCAGGCTAGTCGAGCTTGTATTCGGAGCGTGCGGACCGCACGAGAAAGCGCAGATGCTGAGTCGGCGCCTAAATCCTTGCTGGCAGAGCGCAAGGCAGAGCAGGAACAAGAGCAGCGCAGGAAAAAGCTGAGGTAGCAACAAAGCTGCTTCTTGAGACTAAGAATCTTAGAAAAGATGATACAGGCACGCCTTTTACACGCATCCTAAACAGAGACACTATGGGAAGGGTACTGTGGTGCGTTGCGTTTCGGAGCTTTTGAGAAAGGTGACGAGGAGAACAGCTTGTTACCCAACCCACAAGGGGAAGGCTGGTGCGGAAACGGGGGCCGTGTGCTGGTTTCAGCGTCTGGTTTACACACCGTGAGCACGCATGGGGGAGGTTACTTGCATGCGGAGGGGCCTACGTGGCTGATTGCCCACGTGTTGGCTCCGTGTTTTGCACACAGCCCTGAAACCCGTCTATGGGGGTTCGCCAATCACACGTTGAGGCCGGAAATGCTGTTACCACCGATTTCAAGATGTGAGCTGCTACGTGGACGAATAGTTCGTTGACGAATCAGGCGTTCTGAGTTGTGACAATCGAAGCATCTGGTGGACAATTCTCTTACCGGATCTGGGCATCTGGTATACATGATTTGGAATTAGTACAGCCATACATTTTTACACAACACAAATTACACAAGCACACACAAATGCAAAAACACCAAGGTGCTACGCCACAGCATGAATCGTGGCTTCGGCTAGCTTCTGGATTTTGCGAGCCTCCTCGTTTTGTGCATGCGAGGCCAAGGAGATCACCACATTCTGGAAAGGGAAAGTACAAATGGGGGAAACGGTGTGATTGAAAGGACCAGAACACTCATAGTGGAGGGGATGCAAGCAACTATGCAAAAATTTATCCCTTTTTGCTCACCTGCACGGCGTGGTCTACAATAGCAGCGGTCGCTGGATCGGCAGAACAAACCGCAGCCAGGTTTGGGATTGCCAGCAGCTTCTGCAAAACAGCTGGTGCCTCGTTTTCCCTTCCACGACCCTGGTGGGGGGTGGATATCAGGCAAAGAACTTCTGCCGACTGAAAATCAGAGGCAGGTGCTTCACCGACCCTAGACCCTCAACTTTTGTACGTGTGTTTGGGTAAGCGAGTTCGTTCATAACAGTCGGGGTAATGGTACGCGTATAGCCTTAAAGCTAAAAGTCAGTGTGAAGTCTTACCATGGCGACGAGGGCGTTGATGAGAGATGCGTATGGCAGAGGCCATGTTGGAGCTAGCTGGAAGAGCAGACAGACAGCCAAAGACAGAAACAAAGTGGGGATGAACGAATGCGCGGAACGAAGGGAGCAGCCTTTGCGAGAGCAGTGGGCAGTGGGAAAGACGAAAGTGCAGAGCATGAGGCAGTGCACGCCGACTCAGATTGAGGGATTGGGGGGGTGAGGGTTGGGATTCCAATTTGGCTGTAAGAGTCGAGGGTGTGGGGTTCAAAGATGGGGACATGGACAGGGTAGGGAGCAAAGGAGGGAGGGTGGGAAGGAGGGAGGGAGGGAAGGAGGGAAGGAGGTAGATAGGAAGGGAGGGAGCAGGAACCGCTCGGAATGGAGGGAGGGAGGTTCCCTCTGAACCCATCTAGCAGCAGACCCAACCTACCTATACTCAAAGAGCATACCTCAATGGCACGGAGCAGAAACCGCTCAGAATCTTCCAGCAGGCACTTCCTCCCCGCCCGCCCAGCCAGCTGCCCCTTGGGAGCCGCTTGCTCGCCGCTCCTGCCAGCCTGGTACCACAGCCACGCATCCTGCGGTCGCAGCCCCACTGCTTTCCTCAGCAGCGGCAGGGCCTCCTCGAATCGTTGGGCTGCAAGGAGCTCCCGGGCCCGCGAGGTGAGGCGCCAGAGGGTAAGGCTGCGCGCGTCTGCATGGGGGAATGACACCGCTGCCGCTGCTGCTTCTCCTGCGAGTGCTGGTGTAGAGGAGCGGCCGACCATGGCCACGGCCCAGTTTCCAATGTTCGCCTTTTCTTCCTCCTCTTCCAGTGCTTCCAGCTCTTGCTCGCTCAGTTCTGGCGGCAGAGAGAAGGTTCGCGGTGCTGCCACATCAGCGCCTGCCTCCTGATTGGCCGGAGCGGGCGCGTTGGCCCACATGCGATATGGCGCTGCGGCTACTGCGGCTGATGTTGATGATGATTGGCCGGTGGAAGAAGAGGAAGGGGAGGGGGGAGGGGTGAGGGGTTCGGGTGGGGAGGGGAGGAGGAGCGAGTCGAAGCAGAGAGAGGTGGAGGAGGAGGAGGAGGGGTTGGGGAGGAGGGAGAAGACAGCCCAGGGATGCAGGAGGAGGAGATCCGAGGAAGAAAGTGAGACCTGTGGCGGCGTGGGCAAGTAGAGACACAGCGGAGGGGGAGGGGAATAAAGCAACAAGTCAAATTTCCAAATCGGATTCTGTAAAACTGAACTTCCTCTCAACTCTCAGCACTGAACAATATCAAACGTTAAAACTGGTTCTATTCAAATATCTGTAACTTTGGATTCTCCAGAGATTCCTAAACCTTGGGAATTACGAACGCTGGGCGTACCTTGATGGGTGCTGGGAGAGGCAGTTGGTTTGGCCGGGGGAGAAGGTTCAAGGAAGGTTCCTTGTCAGCAGCATCCAGCCAGTCGGCCACGAGCCAATGGCTATGCGGGAAGATCGCCAGCTGGGCAGACGCTGACGTGTCTGAAAAATGTCAAGAGGTGCAACGCAAGACAACAGACGAACAAGTTGAAAAAAGGAAGACGTTGAAAGTCAATACATGTCGGACAAACAGAAGCACACGTCAGACACACGTGAGGCACACGTGAGACTCAGGAACTGAGAGCTTCAGTGAAATTAACAAGAAAATTCTCACCTCTTAGGACCTCACCATACGAATCCACGTGGCGTTCTGGCAGCACTCACCGCCGGCGTTTTGGGTGGCAACCACAACAGTCAGAATCGCATCATCCAGGCGCTGCCTACTCAGCTCCACGTCAGCAGGCGGCGTGCAGGCGACCTGCCAGCTGTCGCTGACGAATCTCGGGTCCTCGCACGTCTTGCCGTCCAAACAGCCCAGGCCAGCAGACCATTGATGAATCACAGTGTGCCACGTGGCCGGGCCCTGATCCACGTTGGTCCCCGTCACGTCCTCCACCACCCGAAGCGCGGACGCCGGCAAGGACGGCAGGAGAGCCTTGGCTACTAGCGACGAGGGGGTGGAGATTAACTCAGCGTCCGACTCGGATTCCGATTCGGACGCTGTCGTTGGGAAGAGCTGAGCGGGAAGCTTAGGCGGCTCGGACCATTCCGTTGATTGCGGAAGCGCGTCTTTGAGAATGACGAAGCCCTCGCGAAGAAGCTGCTCGCGAACCTTCTCGACGTCGACAGACGCTTCTTCCTCCGCGTTTGCCGGCGCAGCAGACGCCTCAGCCGCAGGTTTCTCGAAACTCTCTGCGACTTCCACGGCGGCGGAAGATCCGCCGCTAATTGCGGTAGGGGGGAAGACGCCGATGCCGAGGAGATTAAGGCGCTGGCGGGACCCACCATTCCCGCTCTTGAGGAGCTGGCAAGTTATGGTTGGCCGCCGTGATGCCACGTGGCAGTGAGGAGGAAGATTTATTGTAATAAAAGGGCAGTTCAGACCTGTTGATGAAATTTCGGAGCTCGCGAAAGCAGCAGATAGGCCAGCGCGGACAAGGGAGCGAGTCGGACACAAGCTAGCGGTAGCGGAAGCCATGACGTCGCAGTGTCTAGTAACAGGAGCAGGAAAACTATCCGCGGGTGCCTCAAAGCGGTAGTTACGGGCAGCAGCTAGTTCGCTTCACAAGAGAACCTCGGATTCTGACGGAGAATATGAGATTCTTGGTCAATGAAGCTGGTGAAGAAGCAATATTTGAATTGCTGCTGTCAAGTTGGTCCAGGATGATGGTAGGAAGAAACGGGGCCGAGCATACAAACTTCAAGGCTCAGAAATACCGATGTGCGACGTCGCAACCAGTCGTGGCGAAACGGTTTTGCGACGCACTCGCTATGTCACCTTGATTCGCCGCAAACAGGTGCGAAGCTCGCGATGAAGCGAAAAGGAGATATGCAAAGGTGGCGTCGCTGTGCGATCCGAGTCCAAATTAGGTCCCTGCGGCTCCAGCTAAGGCTCCATGCTGGATACTTTGCCATGTCATCTACATATGTGTGTAGGATTTGTGTCGTCGTCAGCCGCGACCCGCGGCGCTGTGGGGCAGGTGTAGCCAGGACACGAGCCACGCGTGCGGAATTGGTAATTTCGATTGGATATCTGCCTCTGAAGCACGTGCCGGAAGTTGCCTGCCCGAGGGATCGGCAAAATTGTCGACGCACTTCGCGAAGAGATCTAGTTGTTCGTCGCATCAAGCCTCAAACCTGTGTGCTCCAGACCAGATTCCTTGCTCAAGTGGTAACTTTCGATCGAAACTGCCATCGCTTGGTCGGTGCGGCGGAGGACAAGGTCAGTGGCTTGGGGGGTTGAACCTGCCCGCTAAAGTACAACCTCACATCATTGGCTGCGTGCAGTATAAGACCCAGGAAGTATACATGATTCATGTGAACTACCAATAACTACTTCAAAACCCTGGTTCACAAGTTATTAGTAATGGTACCATGCATTAACAGCGCAGAAATAAATACGTTATCAGCTCTAATGACAAGATAGGAGGGATATGAACATGCGTTACACAGGATGAAAGGACAAGTAAGAAGAAAAATAAAAGAGCCCGGACTGGATCTGTAGCACCATTTGTGCAAGAGCCCTGCACATATCTAATCCATACCTCATAAACTGGATCACTCCTTCCTCAGCTCTCCTCCTCAACTGGGCACCCTGTGACCTTCTCAACTGGATCACTCCATCAGCTCTTGGAACCAACACCTGAAGCAGCATCAGTACTCTTCCCAACACCCATCTCGTCCCCAAACCTCTCCCTCAGCATCGCATGCCAGTCATGAATGCACATGCGCCGCGATGAGTCATAAAACCAGAAACGATTCTTCACCAACCGATCCTTCTTCGCCTCTTTCCCAGAAATCCAGTTATTATGCAGAATCGTACACCCGCTGCACGCATTCGCCACATTCGGCTGATTCCAAAAATCATGCACAGCTCCATTCGGATACATATCCCTCGGCAGGAAGATCGTCCGTAAGCCGTTGCTCCACTGACACTCCTCCCGGTGAACCTTCCTCCCCTCAGCATCCACCACGCTTTCCGGAAGCAGCAGCTCCCCTTTCTCCCCGCAGAGTACATCGTAGAAACTCGGCTGTTCCGAAAGCTGTGTCTTGGCTGCATGCGCGACAATCGCCTCGAATCCCTTGACAGTCATGGGATCTGCTCTTGCGAAGTAAAACCCCGAGTTGATCCGCCGAATCCCCGTGCCTGACAGCGTCGCGTTCGGCTCGTTGCTCTGGATCGGGAACGTGCCAGGCCCGTACGAGAGCAGGTGCGGGAGAGGGTCGGAGAACCACACAATGTCCACGTCGGACCAAAGAACCGAGTATCCGGCCTTAAGAACTCTCAGCACGGCGCGGGATTTCAGCTTGGTGAATTGCCGGAAGCACTTGGTTCCGAACTGGCACTGGCCCTGGTCTATCCCCCTCATAGTCGTACTCGCGCGTTCGTAAAACACCGCAAGGCCTTGCGTGAACGCAAACCGGTACAAATCCTCATCCAGAGCCGCCACGATGAGGTTATTCCCGAGCCCCAGCTTCCGCAGGTTGCACACGAAATTCATAAGCATTTCGGCGTAACCGAACGTAACCGCGACCAGCGTTACCACCTTGAGCTCCTTGGGCTTTCCAGCGCCAGCAGCGCCTGGCAAGGGGACGTCCGGGACGATCCTGGCTAGCTGCGGTAACAGCTGCTCCATGGTGTGGGGAAGACCAACGGTGGAGTTGGTACGGGCTACGGCGTTGATTGCGAAATCGGCGCGGCGATCGATTGAGACGACACCGCAGATCCAAAAGTCGCCCGAGTGGTGCTTGCGCGGGTCGGACTGGGTCTTGTACTCGTAAGCGGAGTATTCGCATGAGCAGTTGGCCGGCCGCTCGCGCTTCAGCATGCAGATGTTCAACGCTGGGAGGGAGAGGGAAGGGAGAAGGGATGCGGGGGAGAGAGGAGAGGAAGGGACAGGGGAACGGGGAAACGGGGAAGGGTGGAAGGAGGGATAGGGTGAGACGCAGAGGTGAAGGAGATTGAGACGACACCGCATATCCAGAAGAGGAGTAAGAGGAGAATGGGGGAGGAGGGGAACGAGGGAATGAGGGAACGCTTCAGCATGCAGGGGTTCCAGCGCTGGGGAAGAGAGGGCAATGGAGACGGGGCGAGATAGAGAGGAGAGAAGATGGAATGGAAGTCGGATTCAGAAACACGCACATGTTCGGAACGGGGGGGTTGCTTGCACGGTAGCATGCACAAGCACTAGGAAGGAAGCGGAGGAGGAGGAGAAGAGGAGTGAGTACTGACGGGGAGGGAGAGGGAGAGGGGGACGGGACGGGGATGGGGAGAGGGGGTCAAAGGCGGAGGGGGAAGGGGAGGGGGAGGGGGAGGTCTACAATATGACAATAAACAACAGCTAGACTCACAATCGGGTTCGTAGCAGGAGGAAAGGCGCCACGGCGTGTGCAACGCCGTGCCCTTCTGATTCGTATACGTGCCGTGCGTCTCCGCCAGGTGAATATTCGCGAACAGCTCCCAGCTGCTCTTCTTCCGCGTGCTCCAAAAATGCCCGCCCGCCTTGCTCTCCTCCACGCGCACGTGCGAGTACGTGTGCGCCACGTGGATGCTCGTGATCGCGTCGCTCGCGTCCACCACCTGTCGCAGCCCGCTCGCGACAGACTCGTGCACGAACCAGTTGTCGTACTTCCCGCGCCCGAACGAAAACGGCGGCATGTGCGCCGAGAAAAGCGGAACGTTGGGAACGTTGTTCCACACCCAGAGGTCTACCCCGCCGTACGTGTGCAAGCTCCCTTCCCGTCGCACGAACCGGCGGATCTCCGCCTCGCGCTGCGCCTCCGCCATCATCCCAACCGGGCCGGGTTTCCGCCGCCACGCGTCTTTCTCAAACGAGTACGGGAAATCCACCGCGACGTCCCATCGCGACGCGGTTAGGATCCACTCGCTAAAAAACGCCTGCACGCGCCCGATCGCGGGGACGATGTCGGATAGGAGAATAATATCCCCGTTGATCATCATCGACAGCGGCGTGTCCGCCGCTTGCGCGCGCGCGACCATCGCGTGAAACAGCGGCACGCCGTAGAAATTCGTGTCGATCGTCGAGTCGACGAATACGGACCCCGGGAATTCCTGCGCGAGGAGATCGAAGCTGGGATCGGATCCTAGCAGCACGACTTTAGGTTGCGGGCGGAGGCGCAGCCAGGAGAGCAGCGCGCGGCGCTGCGGGTCCTCCGGGGTGTTTAAGTACGGCTTCGGAGCGCAGAAGATGGTCATGGAGGGAATATCTCTCGCCCAATCAGGAAGCGGCATGTTCTGGTTGTGGACCATGTCGAGATCGTCCACGTCGACGAGATCGTCGGACGACGCGGCGCGGAGGATGCGCCGACGTGGCAGGCTCGGCGCGTCCGGCCAGTCGTCCATTCCGGGGAAGGCTTCCCCCGACGATGCGCCGTGATCGGCGCCGGATCGTGCGGCGGAAGAGTCGGTTCCGCGAAGGGAGCGGTTATGCCTGTGGAAGGGGAGGGAGAGTTGTTAGATACTGACGGATGCGCGTAGTGGGACTTGCAGACCCCGAACTATTATGACAATACCTAGAGCGACCTAGGACGAAGGTGTACAAAGGACGAGTGAATACCAAGAACGAACAACGATACCTTGGGAGTAGAGCGGTTAGAGGGAGTAAAGCAATACCTTGGGAGTGTCGACGGCAGCACGAAGGCGTGCACGGTGAGGTAGATGGTGAGCGCGATGGCGAAGTTGGGGATGAACTCCGCCACGCGCTTGCCCACCCGCCCGTTCGCCCACTGCTGGAACGAATCCGCCGCGCATTGGTAACCCGAACTCGCCCGTTTCGCAGCGCTGAAACCCCCGCTTCCGGAAACACTAGGGGGAGTACCTGTGCTTCTGAGACCAGTTGCGGCACCGGCAGACAAGCTAGTTGCGACTCGAGTTGGAGAATAAAGTGGTTGGCTGAGCGGTAGTTGATTAGGAGAGATTAAAGCCTTCGACAGAGTCCCGGGCAAAGGTTCGACGTTGGTGGAAATTCGTGGCTGCGTGCGAACCCGCCTAAGTTCAAACTCGGGGAGGCAGCGCGGGGAGACGTTAAGAGAAGACTGACGCGGGCTGGATGACGTGGCTTGTTCCAGAAATGACGTGGCTTGGGCTTGAACCAGCTTGCCAGGAATGGGCTGCGATTCGTGGGTGGGCTCTTCGCTTCTTTGGTCGCCCGACAGGTTGTTGAGAGAATTTGACCGTGGGAGGGAGGGTTGTTGCGGTGGGGAGAAGCGCGCTAAGAGTTCAATGTCATCCATGGTTTCTCACGCCACTGAGCGACACGCGTGGTACCCCAACACAGCCCCCCTACTAAAGCTTAGGGACGGCGACGGGCGCTGAGTCAGCACAGGGAGGTAGGGAAATAGAGGACCGAGAGACAGGCGAAGCGAGATGGTGGAAGATAATGAGAGCAGAGCGAACATAAGTGAGCGTTGAAGGGGAAGAGTAAGGAGAAGTTTATTTGTAGTGAGAGCACTTGTTGTTGAATTCAAACGGTTGAGTACGATAATGTACGATCCGAAGTGGTTCTTATCGCTTAACCACTCTGAAACTACCTGTGAACTGTAAACGAAGTTATGGGACCGCCCTGAGGTGGAGTGATGGTATGGTTCGTTTGGCTAATCGCCAACACCAACCCAACTAAAACCAATCATAACGTACAAACCACTTTAGGTCCAGTCTCGTCAATTGAACTTCTCTCATATGAATTACAATATAGGTTTGGCAGTTTGTGAAATTCTCCACAACGTCCCTTGTCAAGATCGGGACCTGGAGGTGTGATGGTGTGGCATCGCAGGCGCTTCATCGAATCGCAGCCGTCGAAGTCGTTCGACGTCTTGTTCGTTCGTTCGGAGCTGGCTCACACACACACACCTTCACATTGGCCTCCTGCCCTATCACCTTCGCCATTCGGCAGATGTACAGTACAGTGAACTGTAGTTTACATCCAGCTTCCCGTACAGCATTGACCAAACAATTGCAGCATGCATTTCATCAGTCCGTCAATCGGAAGGAACAGTGCACGCTTCCCCCTGCCTTCTCTGCCCCCGCTTCTCTCCAACACACAAGCGCAGCGTGTTCTTGTCAGCCGACATTGTAATTGGGTAGGGGAGGTCAAGGAATGCGCAAGCTGCCCTTGATGTTCTTGATACAAGGTCACGCGCTTACTCAAAATACGGCCTTTTTGGTACTGTTACGAGTGCAATTGAGTGAGCGAGCTAGAATTGCACTATCGAAGCAAGAGTACAATGAGCGAAGGAATGAGCGAACAATATATAGCGAAAGGCTAGCGTGGTAACGGTCATGCGCGAGAATGTGGTGCGCGACGGGCCTAGCGCCGAGGTTGGGAAATGGTGGAGGACCGGAGCGCGGGTTACCAACCGATCCGTTAGGTTGGGTCGCGAGGTGTACAGTGGCGGGAGCAATGGTCGAGGCGAGTGTGGCGAACGGGTAACGTTTCACTGCTGGGTGCCTTGGGCGGGAACCGTCGTGTGCGCGATAAACAGGGGCGCAAAGACTCTCATGTGAACATACTTCAAGTTCTGGTTAACCAAATTCGTGTGATACCTGTGCGTCAGCATTCTATGCACATCCAAGTTCCTGCTTTTATCGAGAACATAACTGACCGACTTCAGCCGACACTCGCGCTGGTTGTGATCAGACGTGGTGTGTGTGGTGGTGGTGGTGAAGTCTGTTCTGCTGACTACAGTGCTGTTCCGTCTTGTGCTAAGTGCGGGAGCTGACACATTCTCCCTTGCACCTGCAGGGTCCATCGTCCGCTTTTATTTCTAGGCTGTGGGGCGAGGACTTTTACGAGTTGGGTGAGTGCAGAAGCCAAGCAGCGCAAACGACTCTGTCAACGTTGTTGCTTGTACCCGTTCCATCCCAACAGAACCCGCTCTTTCCGAGCGCTTCGGTTCTGCGAGTGACATGCGCGCTTCGCGTCGACCCTCTGCGTCATTTGGTCAGCCCCAACCAGCCCACCACCGTTTGCTCTCGTCTCCCTCTCTGAACCATTTCCCCGCCTCCCTTACCCCAACCCCCTCCGCTTCTTTCCCAACCCAGCCTTTCTGTCCCGCACTTTCCTCCACAGCTCAGGCCCAGCACTCATTCAGCTCCAAAAAGTTAGTCACACGCGCAGCACTTTCCATCCCTCAACCCTAGCACGGTATTCTATTACCTTCTAAAAAATAAATAAAAATACCTATAAATTTATTATCTATAGGTTACGGGGGTCACGCTAGCTTACGTAGACCATACCTCAATTCGCATTTTGTTTCGTCCAGGTTGGCGAGTAACATGTCGCCACGTGTCGCCAGACTGCTCGCTGTACTGAGCATAGCCATAGCCGCCACGTGTGCAGCTGGGCAAACGATCGACCCGTCACAACGTACGAACAGGCATCAGAGAATGAGATTGAGTGTTGTTGTTGCTGTTTAAGAGGCAAAAGTCGAATACCACGTCTCCGTCCTAACATGCTGGTCAAGTTGTACTATTCCGCAGTATCGACCCGTGGTCTCAATTCAGGGCCACCTCGCTGTCGGCCCGAGTGGCCTCAATTCAGTGACCGATCACTCGGTTGCCACTTTTTAACGCTCCTTGCGCCCATGGCTTTTGAGTTGTCTCAATAGTTACCACTTTTTCCGCGAATTCTGTGCGCTATCACTCCCCTTCTTCCGCCAGTTCCCGCGTTGGCGGACCTACAAGCGGCTTTTGGGCTCAATTACTCCTCGTGGGGTGAAGGCGGGGATTGTTACAAGGCGAGCTTTCTGCGATGCGACAGCGATGGCATGATAACAGAAATGTGAGTCTGCTTGAAACGAGGGATAAAAAATCAGTTGAGGTGAACCACCGTCGCTCTCCGCTTGGATCCCTCTTGATTGCAAAACCAATCGTGCTCCGCCTCTCCACCGTCGCTCTCCGCTGTCGCCTCTCCACCGTCGCTCTCCGCTTGGATCCGTCTTGCGTGACCCCTCGTGAACAAGAGGGGTGACGCCATTGATTGCAGAACCATTCGTACTCCGCCTCTCACCCCATCCGAACAGTCGGTCATTGAAACGCATCAATAATCGACCTTTTGGTTTCAACGTTCCTCTTTCTCCTCGTCGATGCTGTCTCGATTTTCCTGTTTTTGAGTCGACTAAAAAACAGTCGGTCATTGAAACGCATCAATTATTAATACTTTGGTTTCAACGTTCCACGTTCTCCTCATCGATGTTGTCTCGATTTTCCTCCTCCCCCAGCAATCTGGGAGCGAGCGGCCTTCTCGGCTCTCTTCCTGAAACTATCAGCGGACTAGTGAATCTCACCAGCATGTGAGTGTACCGATGTGAAATGACGATGTGATTATGTCATTGCGTTTGATTCTGGTCCGGCCGACTAGTCAGCTTCTCGTTTCTGTGCATGAATCTCACCAGCATGTGAGTGTACCAATGCTTATGCCAAATGAATTTAGCGTGTGATGTGAGTCTGGGCGTATGACTGTCATCTACAAGCTTCGCTTCACAATTCGCGTCGCTCTTGTGCTTTCCTAATTCAACTGGACCTCATACGCGAACCCATTCGGACTTCCCCCTTTTCCACCCTCCCGTGATAAAAACGAGTTTTTGAGACGTCTCAAAAACTTCCTTGTATCACGTGACTCTTGTGCTTTCCTAATTCGAGTGGACCTCATAGGTGAACCCAGTCGGACTTCCCCTTTTTCCACCCTCCCCCTGCCATCCTTTTTCTTCCTCCCCACCCCGCCCCACCCCCCCCCACTTCCCCCCTCCCTCTCCCCCCCACCTTTGTCGGCGGATCAGTGATGTGAGCGCCAACGGGCTGACAGGGCCGATTCCCTCCACTATAGGCGCACTCGCTAAGCTGAAACGGATGTGAGTGATCCTTGCACAGAAAACGCATTCGCTATAAACAGCCTCCAGTCTCTTAGCTGCACGGGATGTGATGCGAGGGATCTTTCGGCCACAGTCTTGCTCCTGTACAGGCACATTCGTTATAAGAACCCTCCCGCATCCCCCGCCGCATATCCCCCACCATGTCCGCCCACATCCCACATAACAGGCAGCTGGACAAGAACACGTTCGAGGGCAACCTCCCCGTGTCCCTGGGCAGGCTTACAAATCTGACGTCCCTGTAAGTGCAAGCAACCCGGGGGACCTCAATAGGCAGGGCAGCCCTGGTAAGTCCCAAGGTGCACCTTCAAGGCAACCTCCCCGTGTCCCTGGTCAGGCTGACAAGTCTCACGTCCCTGTAAGTGCAAGCAACCCCCTGTGCCTCATTTCCTGAGGTGACTCCCTGAGGTACACGGGGCTCAAAGGTCTCAGCGAGGGCAACCTCCCTGTGTCCCTGGGCAGGCTGACAAATCTCACGTCCCTGTAAGCGCAATCCGGGGCGTGTCAAAACCACAAGGAAATCTAGCTCCGACTTTTCCTCCGCTTGGGAGTTGCTCAGGTAGAAGCTGAAAATTGATTCAATCAACTGGTGCAGTTGCTGCATGCATGGTGCGAAATTCCCCGATCGCCTGCGGCTCTCTTCCTTCCCTCCCTGTGCCTTCTCTCCCCAACCCCAGCCTTCGTTGTTCCCTTAACCTCCAACCCTGTCCTCCTCCGCATCCTCCTGTTGGTCCTTCATGTGATAATGGGTTTGTATTGAGAGGTCTCAAAACAACCCTGTGATAAAAGGGCTGTTCCCTTAACCTCCAACCCTGTCCTCCTCCGCATCCTCCTGTTGGTCCTTCATGTGATAATGGGTTTGTATTGAGAGGTCTCAAAACAACCCTGTGATAAAAGGGCTGTTCCCTTAACCTCCAACCCTGTCCTCCTCCGCATCCTCCTGCTGTTGGCTCTCCATTCCTCCCATACTGCATTGGAGGGGCCTGGCAGCGGTCACGGCAGTTCAATGCAGCGGATACCAGCTGAACTGAACTGCAGGGTGTTTTTTAGAATTCTCAAAAACATCCTCCTGCTGTTGGCTCTCCATGCCTCCCATACTGCGCTGCAGGGACCTGGCAGCGGTCACGTCAGTTCAATGCAGCGGATACCAGCTGAACTGAACTGCAGGGTGTTTTTGAGAATTCTCAAAAGCATCCTCCTGCTGTTGGCTCTCCATGCCTCCCATACTGCGCTGCAGGGATCTGGCAGCGGTCACGGCAGTTCAATGCGGTCACGTCAGTTCAATGCGGTCACGTCAGTTCAATGCGGTCACGTCAGTTCAATGCGGTCACGTCAGCTCAATGCGGTCACGGCAGCTCAATGCGGTCACGGCAGCTCAATGCGGTCACGTCAGCTCAATGCGGTCACGTCAGCTCAATGCGGTCACGTCAGCTCAATGCGGTCACGTCAGCTCAATGCGGTCACGTCAGCTCAATGCGGTCACGTCAGCTCAATGCGGTCACGTCAGCTCAATGCGGTCACGTCAGCTCAATGCGGTCACGTCAGCTCAATGCGGTCACGGCAGCTCAATGCGGTCACGTCAGCTCAATGCGGTCACGTCAGCTCAATGCGGTCACGTCAGCTCAATGCGGTCACGTCAGCTCAATGCGGTCACGTCAGCTCAATGCGGTCACGTCAGCTCAATGCGGTCACGTCAGCTCAATGCGGTCACGTCAGTTCAATGCGGTCACGTCAGCTCAATGCGGTCACAGCAGCTCAATGCGGTCACGGCAGCTCAATGCGGTCACGGCAGTTCAATGCGGTCACGGCAGCTCAATGCGGTCACGTCAGTTCAATGCGGTCACGTCACTGGATACCAGCTGAACTGAACTGGGCTACCATACAGAGGTGACTTTTGAGGCGCCTCAAAACTAGGCGCCTCAAAAGTCACCTTGCAGGGATCTGGCAGCGGTCACGGCAGCTCAATGCAGCGGATACCAGTTGAACTGAACTGGGCTACCGTACAGGCTCCACAAATTCATATGTCCCTCCCTGCTGCTCCCCCTCCTCTCCCATCCGACCCCTGCTCTTCTCTCCCGTGAGACAGAGATTTGGCAGCCAATCACTTCACCGGATCTATACCCGCTGAACTGGGGAACTGTACAGGCGCTCAGAGGCCTATGTCTCCCCCTGCTGACCCCCCCCCCCGCCCCCCCCCCCCCCGCTCATCTCCCCCTTCCGCGCCCAATGTCCCCAACGTCAGGGACCTGGCAGCCAATCACTTCACAGGATCCATACCCGCTGAACTGGGCAACCTCGTCAACCTGCAGTACCTGTAATGCACCGCACCCACCTCCCTCTCCACCGCTCTCTACCTCTCTCCAACACACCTAACCTCCACGTACCATCTTCTCCATTTCAAACGAATCCTCCTTCTGAGAAAATTTCATGGGAATACGAATTCCGCCTTGATTATAACCAAAATTCATGCTGATTATATCTTACCATACCATCATCACCCATACCATACCATCATCATCACCCATACCATACCATCATCACCCATACCAATAATCATCAACCACACCACCATCACCCACAGGCAGCTGAACGACAACTATTTCACCGGCTCCATCCCGGCCTCTTTCTCTCACCTTCTTAATCCGCCTCTCGCTTTCCACCTCCCCGCACCTCCCACCTTCCTTGAATCACTGCCCCACCCCACCATCACCCACAGGCAGTTGAACGACAACTATTTCGCCGGCTCCATCCCGGCCTCTTTCTCCCAACTTGACCAACTGCAATGGCTGTGAGTGCAATGGCTGCCCTGCCCCCTCTCTCCCCCCTCACTTCATGCCAACTTGGGACCAGTGCTGGTATATATCCCTCCTTCCAATCTGCCGTCCTTTCCTTTCCCACTCCCAGTTCCACTTCCCCCTTCCACTCTCCCGTTCCGCCCTCCCCATCCGTCCCCCTCTCTCCTTCCCCCCAGCCAACTGGGCAACAACCAGCTCACAGGGCAGCTGCTCCAGCCGCTGCTCCAGCCGGTGCTCCAGCCGCTGCTCCAGAGCTCGGGGCAGCTGCCTGCTGTTGCTCCAGCCGGTGCTCCAGCCGGTGCCTCAATGGATCTATTTGCTTCCCTTTTCCCTCCCTCACCTTTCGTTTTGTACCCTAAAACCCCTCCTCTCCCCCCCCCCTCCCTCCCCCCCCCCCCCCCCCGCCAATTGGGCAACAACCAGCTCTCGGGTCAGCTGCCTGCTGGATTCGGGTGGCGATCCCACGTGTTCACGTGTTGACCCCTAACATTGGACTTCCGCACGACTTCCCTTCCCCCCTCACCCTTGCACCCTACACTCCTCCCTTGCCCCTCCCCTCAGGCAACTGGGCAACAACCAGCTCTTGGGAGCTGCCTGCTGGATTCGGGTGGTGAACCCTATTATGCACCCTCATGTTGAACTTGCACCAAAGTTGCTCCTCTTCCCTCCTCCACGCCCGCCCCTCCCCCTCCCTCCAGGCAACTGGGCAACAACCAGCTCTCGGGTCAGTTGCCTGCTGGTGCTCCAGTGGACTTCTGTCCTTCCTCCTTTATCCCTCCCTCCCTCCCCCTTCACCCTTGCACCCTACACTCCCCCCCCCTCCCCCTCCCTCCAGGCAATTGGGCAACAACCAGCTCATGGGGCAGCTGCCTGCTGGATTCGTTGCCTTCCCCGGTCTCACAGGCCTGTGAGTGTTACTGCCATGCCATGCCATGCCATGCCATGCCATGCCATGCCATGCCATGCCATGCCATGCCGTGCCGTGCTGTGCCATGCCTTGCCATGCCATGCCATGCCGTGCTGTGCCATGCCATGCCATGTCTGCGAATCTATATAGTTCCCCTCTAACCGCCCTTTATCCCTGCCTTTCTCCCCTCATCGTTCACCCCATGTCATTCCCTTCCCCTTTCCCCATGCCCCGGCAGTTGGATTGACATACAGCACACGTGCCCTCCGGACAACACAGGTTGTGGGCAGACCCGTCCCTTCCGCAACAACACCTTCTGCCTGCAGACCACAAACTCTCCCTCTAACCACCCTTACTCCTTGCCTTCTCCCCCTTGTCATGCTCTCCCATGCCCCCCAGTTGGATTGACATACAGCACACGTGCCCGCCAGACAGCACCGGCTGTGGTCAAACCCTTCCGCAACAACACCTTCTGCCTGCAGACCTGCCCTTCCTTCTAACCACCCACCATTCTTCCTTGCCTCTCTTCCTTGTCATTCTCTCTTTTGCCATACATTCGCATGTCTCCATCCAGCTGGATTGACATACAGCACACGTGCCCGCCAGACAACACCGGCTGTGGTCAGACCCGCCCCTTCCGCAACAACACATTCTGCCTGCAGACCTGCCCTTCTTTCTGCAACACATGCATTCCCAGGAAGCTTCCCACCCCTCCCCCCAACACCACCACCACCATTGGCACCAGTTTTGGTACCCGTGTGAACGCGACTGGTGCTCCTGTTGCTATGCCTCCTCCTTCCTCTCCTGCGGTAGCTTCCACACCTAAGGGTGCATCGGGTGATGGTATCAGATGCAGTAGCAGCTTAGTGCTCGGGTTTGCTCTTGCCCTACTGGCGCTGCTGTGAACATGACTGGTGCTCCTGTTGCTCTGCCTCCTCCCTCCTTCCCTGCGGCTACGTCTACACCTAAGGGTGCATCGGGTGATGCTATCAGATGCATTAGCAGCTTAGTGCTCGGATTTGCTCTTGCCCTACTGGCGCTCGTGTGAACGCGACTGGTGCCCCTGTTGCTCTGCCTCCTCCCTCCTTCCCTGCGGTTACGTCTACACCTAAGAACCATGGGTGGCAATGCTCGCAGTAGCAACAGAGTGCGACTTTTGAGTCGACTCAAAAGTCACCATGGATGGCAATACTCGCAGCAGTAACAGAGTGCTGGGGTTTTTTCTTGTGCTTGCTGCTGCTTTCATGGCTGCATGATTGTTGCTATGTGGGGTTCAAATAATAAGACACCCTAAACCATGGATTCATTAAGACAGGCAACCTCTGTGTGCGCACCCACTTGCCCATCCAGCCTTCGGCTATACGCGTCTGTGTAACCACCTTCTCATACCGGTACTCTTTCTGTGTGTTGATGTGTTTAGACGCCTTGGAAAGCAGGGAGTTTGCTAACAAGAGCGCAGCTTTGCATGTATACTCTAGAAGAGACTCACGAGTCCTGCTTCAAATGTAGGAGGCAGGCGGCAAACGTGTCTGAATTGATACAGGAGCACTACCAACCACAGCAATGCAGCAGAGCAGTTCTGAGAAGACTCAGAACTCGTCTCATTTCAAGCAGGCAGGCAGCAAAAGCGTATTGATCCAGTTACAGCAGTACCACAGTACAGTACAGGTATACGGTAGCAACAACGGTGCATGGCGTACTAAACGGTTCCTAAGCAGCAACAAAATGTGAAAATCACGAAGCAAGAGACAAGCTTCAGAAGACTCCAATTAGTGGAGGAGGCTACCAAGATCGGGCTACCGAGATCGATTCTACAGCTGCACAAAACTTTCCCTGCAGCAGCTTTTCATCTTCAATCTCATTTCATCTTTTCACTAGTCCGCTATCAGCGCATTGCTCTGCTGCAGTTAGGGTAGGCTGCCTGCTTACATAGGCAAGCCCACCAGTATGGGATCAGATTGCCCCAGCCCAGACCCACCAGTACCGTATGAGATCATAGGTGCGACTTTGCCCTGAGAGATCACTTTCGATTCGACTTCAAGCCACTCTGAAGCCGTCTGGTCATCTGCCAAACTGGCAGCAGCGTGTTTCCTGGCTGATACCTGAGTTGTCTAGTATCCTATGCTACGCATCCTGCGCCCAGCAGCCTTCACGAAACGCCTCAAATCCACTCTGAAGCCATCTATCCAGCTGTCAAACCGGCACCTGTGTGTCTCTTAATCCAGCAGCTTAGCCACCACACCAGCACCCACAGTGCGACCGCCCTCCCTCAGAGCAAAGCGTTGGCCTGCATGGGGGAGGGGATAAGGAGAGGAGAGAGAGCACAGGTGTGAGCGTGCGTGCGCGCGTGACCGCCCTCCCTCAGAGCAAAGCGCTGGCCTGCATGGGGGAGGGGAGAGGCAGCACAAGTGCGTGTGTGCGTGTATGCGTGAGTGCATGCGTGTACGCGAGTGTGTGCGTGTACGTCTGTGGGGGGACTTGAAAGGGACAACACATACACACACCTGCTTTAGCAGGTATCAGACTCTTACTCTTTCTTTGAGAACAAAGCAAAGGACACAGGGACAGAGAGACAGAGGAAGACAGAGGGAGACAAAAGGTGGCAGTCACATTGTCCCCCGGCATGACCATCTTGACTTCATCTGGCAACACCACCTTACAAGTGACTCCCATTCCGGACCATCTTGCACCATGAACCACCTCACATCTTACCCGCTTCAATGGCAACTGGTGACAGTACGTGTGGAAAAGTCTCACCCGCTTCGATAGCCACAGGAGAGAGCAGCTCAAAGGTGGCAGTGACGTTGTCTCCAGGCATGACCATCTTGACTTCATCTGGCAGCACCACCTTCCCTGTCACATCGGCCATGCGCAGGTAGCACTGCGGGCGACGGCCTTATGACCCACTGAGAGACCGTACCATCCACGCGGACAGTGACGGACCAAGAGAAAGCAGGAGAGATCGAGACAGAGGGAAAGGAACAGCGACAGGACAGGAGAAAAATACACACCTGCTTCGATGGCGACCGGGGAAAGCAGCTCAAAGGTGGCAGTGACATTGTCTCCCGGCATGACCATCTTGACTTCGTCTGGCAGCACCACCTTCCCTGTGACATCGGCCGTGCGCAGGTAGCACTGCGGGCGGTAGTTGGAGAAGAAGGCCGTGTGGCGCCCGCCCTCCTCCTTGGTGAGCACGTAGATCTCAGCTTGAAACTTCTGCGAGGTTTTAATCGAGCCTGGCTTGCACGCGACTTGCCCTCGCTGCACGTCCTCCCGCTTCAATCCTCTCATGAGCAGCCCCACGTTGTCTCCCGCCTGCATTGCAGCACCACAGGCAGGGACGGGCGGAAAGGAGAAGAGGTGGAAGGGTGGAGGGGTGGAAGGGAGTAAGGGCAGTGCATGTGGGGTAGTTGGAGAAGAAGGCCGTGTGGCGCCCGCCCTCCTCCTTGGTGAGCACGTAGATCTCAGCTTGAAACTTCTGCGAGGTTTTAATCGAGCCCGGCTTGCACGCGACTTGCCCTCGCTGCACGTCCTCCCGCTTCAAACCGCGCATCAGCAGCCCCACGTTGTCTCCCGCCTGCAGCACCACAAGGACAGGGAAGTGGATGGGCAGAAGGGTGGAAGGGCAAAGAAAATGCTGAAGCGCCCACAGGGCTGTGTGGGCGCCCGCCCTCCTCCTTGGTGAGCACGTAGATTCGCCTGAAACTTCTGAGACGTTTTTATGGACCCTGGCTTGCAGGCAACTTGCCCTCGCTGCACGTCCTCCCGCTTCAAACCACGCATCAGCAGCCCCACGTTGTCTCCCGCCTGCAGCACCACAAGGACAGGGAAGTGGATGGGCAGAAAGGTGGAAGGGTGGAAGGGCAAAGAAAATGCTGAAGCGCCCACAGGGCTGTGTGGGCGCCCGCCCTCCTCCTTGGTGAGCACGTAGATTCGCCTGAAACTTCTGAGACGTTTTTATGGACCCCGGCTTGCAGGCGACTTGCCCTCGCTGCACGTCCTCCCTCTTCAAACCGCGCATCAGCAGCCCCACGTTGTCTCCCGCGTGCAATGCAGCACCAGAGGGAAGGGTGGAAACGGGTGGAGGCACAGAAGGGCAGAAGGGTGGAAGGGCGGAAGGGCAGTGCGTGATTGAAGACGCCCACAGGGCCGTGTGCCGCCCACCCTCCTCCTTGGTCAGCACGTAGATCTCCGCCTGAAACTTCTGAGACGTTTTAATGGACCCTGGCTTGCACGCCACGTGGCCCCTCTGGCCGTCCTCTCTCTTGAGCCCTCGCATCAGCAGCCGCACGTTGTCTCCTGCCTGTACTGAAGCGACAGAGGGAAGGCTGGAAGGGTGGAAACGGGTGCTGGCAAACAAGGGTGGAAGGGTAAAGGGATGGTTGTGCGCACCTGTCCAAGATTCTCACTACCCATCCACCTGCCCCAGTACCCACCTGCCCCAGTACCCACCTGCCCCAGTACCCACCCACCCCAGTACCCACCCACCCACCTGCCCCAGTACCCACCCACCTGCCCCTGGTCGAGGATCTTCTTGAACATCTCCACGCCAGTCACTATCGTCTTGGTGGGGTTGCCCGCCTGAGGGGAGACGAGATGGTGGTGGAGAGAGAGGGGTGTGGGATGGGAGGAAAGGCATGGGAAGATGGGGACAGGGGGGTGGGGAGGAGGAGAAAGGGAGGATCTTCTTGAACATCTCCACACCGGTCACTATCGTCTTGGTGGGGTTGCCCGCCTGTGGGCGAAGAGGAGGTGGTGGGGGAAGAGAAGAGGCAGCGTGGGGGAAAAGGGACAAGGGGAGATGGACGAGGGAAGGGGAAGAGGAGGAAGGGGGGGACAGATGGTGGTGGATGCAGAGAGATGTGGGGGAGCGGAGAGGCATTGGGATGGGGGAGAGGGATGAGAAGTGAGGTACAGGACTGGATTACGCACCTACCAGCACAGCGCACACTCTAAGTTAGCGATTCTCTAAACATCTTGAAAATTGCTCACAAGGCTTACCAGCACAGTGCACAACCTAAGCTCACGCGCAAAATAAGTCGGCACAAAACGCCAGCTTGACAACAATGCTGCGTTGGGACTTGATACAAAAACCATTGGCAAAAATGCCGAGTTGCAGCATTCCATCTCTCTCCCCACCCCACTTGTATGATTGTATCTCAACTCCCTAATAAACACCCCCCAACCTCCCTTCCGCCTTTCTCTCGTTCCGTCCCTCCCAGTCCTCCCAACTTCCACCTCCCCCAATTGCACCTTCATGCCCACGATCTCGATTTCATCGCCCACTTTGATAATCCCCTGCTCCACCCGCCCTGTCACCCCCGTGCCTCGGATGCCTTGTTACCCTAAACACCCCCTCTCCCCGCACCCCCCTCCCACCACCCCTTCCTCTTTCCCCCCCCCATGCACACCTTCATGCCCACGATCTCGATTTCATCGCCCACTTTGATAATCCCCTGCTCCACCCGCCCTGTCACCACTGTGCCACGGCCCTGGTGGGAGGAAAAGGAACGAGGGGAGGAAGGGAGGAACGAGGGTAAGATTAGACAGGGCAGGTTGGAACGAGGGCAGGTTGGAACGAGGGCAGGTTGGAAGGACGAAACAGAGAGGAGCGGAGAGGTGGAAACTTGAGACATATACAGGAAGCGGGAGGGTGGTGGAGGAAAGTGGGGAAGCGCCGCCTGCCTGTGGTGTGAGTCACTCGTTCCACTCACCTCACACCACCACCCACCTGAATGGAGAACACGCCTTCAATGGGCATGAGAAAGGGCTTGTCGAGGGAGCGTTGGGGTTCCGGAATGTACTCATCCACGGCTGCCATGAGCCTCAGCACCGCCTGCTTGTGGTGTGTGTGACTCACCATAGGGACACATCTCTTAAGAACACGAACCCACCTGGATGGAAAACACGTCTTCAATGGGCATCAGGAACGGCTTATCCAACGATCGCTGCGGCTCCGGGATGTATTCGTCAACTGCTGCCATGAGCTTCAGCACCGCCTGCTTGCCGATCTCATCATTCGTGCCTTGCAGTGCTGCCCAGTGCCCACTGCACTCACCACGCTTCAAGTGCTGCCCTGCACTGCACCCACCAGCGTTCCCTCAGCACGCTGAGCAGCCCACCTGGATGGAGAACACGTCTTCAATGGGCATCAGGAAGGGCTTGTCAAGGGACCTCTGCGGCTCCGGAATGTACTCATCCACTGCTGCCATGAGCTTCAGCACGGCCTGCTTGCTTGTGGTGCTGCACTGCACTCACCATAGGGCACATGACACACCCACCTGGATGGAAAAGACATCCTCAATGGGCATCAAGAAGGGCTTGTCCAGTGACCTCTGCGGCTCAGGGATGTATTCATCCACCGCTGCCATGAGCTTCAGCACCGCCTTCTTGCCGATCTCATCGTTGGTGCCCTGCAGTGCTGCCAGCGCCGACCCTCGCACGATGGGGATGTCGTCCCCCGGGAACTTGTAGAAGGAGAGCAGCTCTGGGGGGGGGGGGGGGGGAGAAGAAGAGGGGAGAGGGTGTGCATGAGCTTCAGCACCGCCTTCTTGCCGATCCCCTCGTTCGTGCCCTGCAGGGCTGTCAGCGCTGACCCGCGCACGATGGGGATGTCGTCCCCTGGGAACTTGTAGAAGGAGAGCAGCTCTGGGGGGAAGGGAGGGAAGGGGAAGAGCAGAGGGGGGAGGGACGGGGGGAGAGGGACGGGGGGAGAGGGACGGGGGGAGAGGGACGGGGGGAGAGGGATGGGGGGAGAGGGATGGGGGGAGAGGGATGGGGGGAGAGAGGGAACTTGATGAGGAAGGGGCTTTGTGTGCCTGCTTGGCATGGGACATCCACCCTCTCTCACTCCACACAATACCCCCTATCACTCACTCCCTCCCTCACTCCCTCACTCCCAAATGCACTCACTCACTCACCCCTGAGCTCCATCTCGACCAGCTCCAGCAGCTCCTCATCATCCACCATGTCCACCTTGTTCAGGAAACACACCAGCGACGGCACTCCCACCTGGGTATAGAGAGGCATGGTGGGAACGAGACAAAAAAAGGGGAACGGGAGTCATGTGCATATGAGATGTGTGCACAGGGCGTAGGTGGGGGAGCGAGTGTTTTTTGAGAATTCTCAATAAACAGTCACGTGCATATGAGATGTGTGCACAGGGCGTAGGTGGGGGAGGCACAGCACATGCTGCCTTTCTGCTCTCAAAAAGATTTGATTCGAGCACCTCTCTCACATCACATGTGAGCCCAGCGGAATGTGCTTCCTGTCCTCTTCCCTCTTTGTAATCAAGCACGCCTCTCGAGTCTCGCCTGTCTGGCCAACCAACAGCATGTGTTAGCACGTCTGAGTCAATCGGGAGAAGAGACGACCAATATCCCTCCGTCCATCTGAGCACACGCAGTCCGTTCCGTGTGGCCAATAGAGCCCCAAACAGGAGCCATGACCTTGCGTAGCAGCAGCTTTTAGCAAACAGATTTCAGTTTGGTTTGGCTCCTGTTTGGGGCTCTATTGGACACGTAGTCCGTGTGGGCGGGGGGGGTGTGGTGGGCAGGTGGGTGCATTGAAATCACTTTTGAGAATTCTCAAAAGTGATTTCAATATGGGCAGGTGGGTGCGGGTAGAGGAAGGGGAAGAGGCGGAGGGAAAGGAAAGGGTGCACTCTACCACGTCTCTCACTCGCGTCTCTCACTCACCTGTCTGGCGAGCAGGATGTGCTCGCGCGTCTGAGGCATGGGGCCATCAGGGGCCGACACCACGAGGATCCCCCCGTCCATCTGAGCAGCGCCTGTGATCATGTTCTTCACGTAGCCCGCGTGGCCGGAGGAGGGGGGCGAGGAGAGGAGGAAGAGGAGGAGGAGGCGGCGGAGGGGGTGAAAGGGGGCAGTCCAGCACGCTTCTCACCTGTCTGGCGAGCAGGATGTGTTCGCGCGTCTGGGGCATGGGGCCATCAGGGGCCGACACAACCAATATCCCCCCGTCCATCTGAGCAGCACCCGTGATCATGTTCTTCACGTAGTCCGCGTGGCCTGGGCAGTCCACGTGTGCATAGTGGCGCTTCTCCGTCTCGTACTCCACGTGGGCCTGATGGGTGGGACAACAGGAGTCAACGGAAGTCAACAAGTTTGACCAGAGGTGCCCAGCATTGCCTGTGGCAGTCCACGTGTGCGTAGTGCCGCTTCTCCGTCTCGTACTCCACGTGGGCCTGAGAGGCGGGCGGAGGGGGGGGTGAGAGAAAGGGGAGAGGGGAACGGATGGATAAGTCAGTCCACGTGTGCATAGTGCCGCTTCTCCGTCTCGTACTCCACGTGGGCCTGAGAGGCGGGCGGAGGGGGGGGTGAGAGAAAGGGGAGAGGGGAACGGATGGATAAGTCAGTCCACGTGTGCATAGTGCCGCTTCTCCGTCTCGTACTCCACGTGGGCCTGAAGGGAGAGGAAGGTGGGGAGTTCAACAGGAGAGAGCCGGAATGATCATTAAGCCAGCATGCTCGCATTGAATACAGAGATAGTGAAGGGGGAAAAGTGGGGATGCCCCTTTGAAAGGAGGGGTTTGGTAGGAGGGGCGAAAAGGAGTGTGGGGTGGTGCGGGAAACGGGACTTGCGGAATTTTTAGGTGATTTAAATCTGGAGGACAGTGAATCAAACGCAATCGCCTTCAAGACGTCTCAACTCAACCTCCTCTCCACAATTTCACTCACAGCAGCAGCAACGATGATGAACTCACAGTGGCGATGGTGATGCCACGGGCCTTCTCCTCAGGCGCCTTGTCGATCTCATCAAACGCAATCGCCTTCGCCTTGCCCTCGTCCGCCAGTACCTACGCACAATGAGAGGAGGGCGGAGAAGAAGGATGTTTTGAGACATCTCAAAACTCTCATCGAACGCGATTGCCTTGGCCTTGCCCTCGTCCGCCAGTACCTACGCACAAAGAGAGGAGGGAGGAGGCGAAGAGTGTGGAAGGGAAGACGGATAAGAACGAGTTTAGCGGACCGACGTTTGCCATGACCGGTGCGGAAAGGAATGAGGGGGGGGGAGGAGGGGGGTTGAAAAGAGGGTGAAGGAAAAATGGATGAGAGAAAACGAAGAAAGACAGCATCAAGAAAGCATCAGATTGGTATAATAGGCGGCCAAGTACCGTGTGTGTGCGTGGTGAGGGCGAACGCAAGTACCCTACCTTGGTGATAGCGGCAGTGAGAGTGGTCTTGCCGTGATCCACGTGGCCGATGGTGCCAATGTTCAGATGCGGCTTGCTGCACGTGGGGGGACATGCACGCACGCGGGGAGGCACGGACGCACACGTGCATGCATGCACGCGAAGGGACAAGGATGGGAGAGTTGCAACAATGACGAGTCCGGCACAAACGCACAGGATGCGGCTTGCGGCACGCAGGGAGATTTGGAACCAACCGTTAAACGCACAACGGGCAGACTCAGGGCACGGATGCACAGCTGTAGGCGACTGGACATGGTTGGTACATCACTTTTGGGAATTCTCAACAGACTCGCAGCCACCGATACACGCACAAGCACATTCGGACTAGGAACACGGATGCACAGCGTTAGGGGAGTGGGATCTTGCAGATTTGACTTGTAAGACGTCCCAATACAGTGGCACGCGTCTTCATGCTTGTAAGGAAGGGCGATACGAGCCACGCGATCTAGACAACGACTCGGCTTAGTCGTTAGTCTCACGCGGTCTCGACTCATGGCGGAAGCTGCGAGGAAGCTGCGGGGAGGCTGCGTGGAAGCTGGTACTCACGTTCGGGAGAAGGTTGCGTATCCACGCCTGCACTGCGCCGCGATCGCCGCCGCGTCTCCCGCCGGAACAAACGGAACAATGCCGCGAAACGACGTCGACGACGCAGCGGCGCAAGTCACGGAGCTTCTGAAAGGGGACACCGCCCCGCTAAGAACCGCATCCACGTCACGACCTCCCGCAAATCCCGCGAGATCGCAGGTGCTGACGTGGCGGCTGGCCAGCGCGGCGGCACCATTTGGTGACGTGGCCGGCGCGGCTGCTCCTGCTTGCGATCCGGTTTCAACGGATCGGAAGAGCGCGCCGAGCGCGCTTCCTGTCGCTCGGTTGCGCGACAGAATACGGTGGACGGATGTAACGGCCATCGTTATTAGCACCAGATCTGCGATCCCTCGGTATAAGGACGTGACAAACGGTCCTGCTACGAAAGATAGTCTCCTCCCTGAACGATATTTCTAGACCTTTCTGAAGCGTCGGGTTGTAACACAGCGTACTAGCGTCGCTTAAGTGACAGGGTGCGAGACTCAGCAGGCCCGAGAAGGCGAAGTGGGAGAAACAGTAGCTAAGCAAAAGGCTTAGTGCCTGGACCCACACCGAAAACAAACGACTGCGATTCCAGCGCTACGTCGCGTGTTAGGCGCTACGACAAATCGTAGCGGCTGATAGGTCGAGTGAGACTCGAGATTCCAGTCAAAATCACGCCTATGTCTCTAAAGTTATGGTGGTGGTGCTGTTATACCCTATTCCTGTCAGTCCTGTTAGCAGCAAAGCCAACTTCGAGGTTCGCGCTGTTGGCTGAATCGTTACTAGAGGCTTACGATCATTCGATGTACTACAATATCATTATATATCAATGAGACACTTCATACTTGGGTAACACTTTCTACAAGTTCCTGATTGTGGTTCCATGAAGGCGAAACGAGTGAGTGTACTCCCATAATTGTTGCATAAATTCTGCAGACGGTTGTTGGTCTTCTTGCTCTGCCAACTGCGAGCAAAAGCCAAATATTGATTCAAATGGTTACGAAAGCAAGAAAACAAATTGAAAGAACACACACCACTTGTCTCACCTTAACCCTATCCTCCTCTTGAAGCTCGCCCATGTAGAAATGCTGCAGATTTACAACAGAAAATGGACCAGAGCAATTGGCGAACAAAACCAAATCGAAGATCCCACACCAATAACGATATAAAAAAGGGCAAAAGTAGCTGTAGTTGGCATACGAGTTTATTGACTCACCCTTAGGTAAAGAAATGACTCTCGTGATGAATGGTACAGCTCAAAGAAAACAGTGCAGTCCCGATTGAGCCCCTGCAGTGTCACCCCATTAAACGCAAACAAGGAAGCTTATAGAGAGGACGAGTGACAGTGTACCCTTATGAAGGGAAAAAACAAAGTGACATACATTTCAAAACCGTAGTCACATTTACTCACCACCACTGAGCCTCACCTGAGTTGGAATGATTGTATCGCCTCCCGGGTGTTCTGGTAACCATCTTGTTACATCCAGCACCATGCCATCCAGAAGCAGCCAACAGTTGCCACTTGCGTTGCGTTCCGCCAACTCAGCAAAGGTATACTCACTGAGATGGCAGGCAGGTGGATGGATGGGGGATGGGGGTGCATGGATGGGTGTGCAAGGATGGGGATGGGGGTGTGCACGCATGGGGGTGCATGGTAAAAAGGAAACGCAGGGCAGGGCAGGGCGGAAGCTAGAGCATGAAACTCTACGCCAGGAACCCCTTCTCACCGGATGCGCGATTCAAAGAGTCCTTGGCGCTGGTCACAGAGGTCTGCAAGACTCTTGAATGAGGTTGATCCAAACTAGTAGCTCCCGCTCTGCCTGCCCCTTCTGAACCAAGATCAGAAACTCTATAGCATAAAACCCCCTCTCACCGGATGCGCGATTCAAAGAGTCCTTGGCGCTGGTCACAGAGGTCTGCAAGACTCTTGAATGAGGTTGATCCAAACTAGTAGCTCCCGCTCTGCCTGCCCCTTCTGAACCAAGATCAGAAACTCTATAGCATAAAACCCCCTCTCACCGGATGCGCGATTCAAAGAGTCCTTGGCGCTGGTCACAGAGGTCTGCAAGACTCTTGAATGAGGTTGATCCAAACTAGTAGCTCCCGCTCTGCCTGCCCCTTCTGAACCAAGATCAGAAACTCTATAGCATAAAACCCCCTCTCACCGGATGCGCGATTCAAAGAGCCCTTGGCGCTGGTCACAGAGGTCTGCAAGACTCTTGAATGAGGTTGATCCAAACTAGTAGCTCCCGCTCTGCCTGCCCCTTCTGAACCAAGATCAGAAACTCTATAGCATAAAACCCCCTCTCACCGGATGCGCGACTCAAAGAGTCCTTGGCGCTGGTCACACAGGTCTGCAAGGCTCTTGAGCCCCAAGGCAGCCGCTGCTGCCCTCAGGTCTTGAATGAGATTGATGTCAAACTGGAAGCTCTCTGCCTGCCCCTTGAAACCCTGTCTCACCGGAAATGAGCAGCAGTTCTATGAACGTGAAACCCTGTCTCACCGGATGCGCGACTCAAAGAGTCCTTGGCGCTGGTCACACAGGTCTTGAAGGCTCTTGAGCCCCAATGCACTCGCGGCTTCCCTCAGATCCCCTATGAGATTGATGTCAAACTGGAAGCTCTCTGCCTGCCCCTTGAAATCCGCCTCTAGGAACAGCAGCACTCGATCCAGCAGCAGACAGTCGATCGCTAGTTGCACTGTTGGGGGTTCTGGGCTGGTATCCTGCACTGCCTGGGGTGACAGTGAATAGGGGGCAAGGGGGAGCGGTGTGAAGGGAAACGGAAAGATGAGTGAGTGCAGTGGAGGGAACAGCAGCACCCGGTCCAGCAGCAGACAGTCGATCGCTAGTTGCACTGTTGGAGGCTCTGGGCTGGCGTCCTGCCCTGCCTGGGAGAAGAGAGGGAATCAGCAGCACCCGGTCCAGCAGCAGACAGTCGATCGCTAGTTGCACTGTTGGAGGCTCTGGGCTGGCGTCCTGCCCTGCCTGGGAGAAGAGAGGGAATCAGCAGCACCCGGTCCAGCAGCAGGCAGTCGATTGCCACTTGGACAGTTCGATTGGAGCTCTGGGCTGGCGTCCTGCCCTGCCTGGGGTGGTGGATGCGGGCAGCATGGGGGTGGATGGAGTGGAGGGAAAAGAGCAGCAGCACTCGGTGCAGCAGCAGGCATTCGATGGATACTTGGACTGTTGGAGGCTCTGGGCTAGTATCCTGCACTGCCTGGGGTGACAGTGAATAAGGGGCAAGGGGGAGCGGTGTGAAGGGAAACGGAAGGATGAGTGGGTGCAGTGGAGGGAACAGCAGCACTGGGTCCAGCAGCGGAAAGTCGATCGCTAGTTGGACTGTTGGGGGTTCTGAGCCTGTGTCCTGCACTGCCTGGGGTAAGAAGCGGGAGTATCAGGAGTGGAGTGGAGGGAAAAGAGCAGCAGCACTGGGTCCAGCAGCAGACAGTCGATGGGCGGTGGATACACGCAAGGTGAGGAGAAGGGGCCAGAAGAGGTCACAACAATCTATCCTCCTGACATTGTAGCTTACCAGGTGCACAGAGAGATTGCATACTTTGGTGGGTGGCATGGCATGGGCAGGGTTTTTTGAGACGTTGTGAGACGTTGTGAGACGTGTCAAGTCAAGAGACATGCAGCGTACTTTAGTGAGAGCAAGGCATGGTCGCAGTAAGGCCTTCTTGACGGGAAAGAGCTCGTCATCTGATGACACGAGCTGTGGGAGGAGGGGAAAGGGCGGTGAGTTTGGGAAGAAGGGAAGATGAAAGGGAAGGAGTGGAGAGAATTCAGCAGGCGAGCAAAGAGGAGAAGAAAGGCATGGTCGTAGTACGGCCTTCTTGACTGGAAAGAGCTCATCATCTGACGACACGAGCTGTGGGAAGAGGAGATGGGAGGGTAAAACGGAGGGAAGTGAGCGTATATTTTCCGATGGAGGAGGAAGGGAGAAGGGCCTTCTTGACGGGAAAGAGCTCATCATCTGATGACACGAGCTGTGGGAGGAGGGGAAAGGCGGGTGGTGGAAGGAGGGAAGAAGCGATGAGGCAAGGGGGCAGGGAGAAAGCGATCGGCATCAATGAGCATTGGACTTGGAGTCAGCAGCTTGCATACATACTACAAGGATTGCTGCCCACACAGTGAGCCCAACAGTTCAAGATCTGAACATTGCTCCCATGGGGAGCAAAGGGATCCATGATAAGCTTATGCACCACCACCCCTCACCACCTAGTTTTGCCCAGATGGAAACAAGAAACTGCTCATTCACCTCCCCTCCGACCGCGCTTTTTCCTCGCATGGGCTTCACTCACATTGCCAACCCGACTCGGGCCTGTGCTCTTGGCAGCCTGGGTTGTAAACGTGAGTTCACTAGCTGTACATATGCTCAATCCCCCTCTACCCCCCGACCACGCAAGGAACTCACGTTTACAACCCTACTCGGGCCCGTGTTCCTGGCAGCCTGCTTAGGAACCCAGTTCACTAGCCGTATGCCTGCAGGAATTGGGTGAGGGGAAGGCGCAGTTGGGGGAAACGAGAACAAACAGGATGTTTTGAGGAGTGGAGGGAGGACAGGGGAAGGGGGCTATATGAATGACAGGGAAGGTGCGAGAAGGCCAGATGTATGGGAGCAGGAAAGTGGGGGCGCATATTATGGTACCTGTATCAGGTACAAGGTGTATTTGAGTGTTGTTAGTGAGCATGCCTCGGTAGCAGTGGTATAGCACAGCCTCCTCTCTCTCCTCCTCACCTGCCACACCACCACAGCAACGAGCGATGAGAACGAGACTGTTAGAGTCGACAAAAAAAAGCGGAAAACAAAAACAGAGTTACACAGTCGCAAACAAGTGCACTAGCAGGCAGCATGTGCTGTGATGTGCTGTGATGTGGTGCGATGTGGTGTGATGTGGTGCGATGTGGTGTGATGTGCTGTGATGTGCTGTGATGTGGTGCGATGTGCTGTGATGTGCTGTGATGTGGTGCGATGTGCTGTGATGTGCTGTGATGTGGTGCGATGTGCTGTGATGTGCTGTGATGTGGTGCGATGTGCTGTGATGTGCTGTGATGTGGTGCGATGTGCTGTGATGTGGTGCGATGTGCTGTGATGTGGTGCGATGTGCTGTGATGTGGTGCGATGTGCTGTGATGTGGTGCGATGTGCTGTGATGTGCTGTGATGTGGTGCGATGTGCTGTGATGTGGTGCGATGTGGTGCGATGTGGTGCGATGTGCTGTGATGTGGTGCGATGTGCTGTGATGTGGTGCGATGTGCTGTGATGTGTTGCGATGTGCTGTGATGTGGTGCGATGTGCTGTGATGTGGTGCGATGTGCTGTGATGTGGTGCGATGTGCTGTGATGTGGTGCGATGTGCTGTGATGTGGTGCGATGTGCTGTGATGTGGTGCGATGTGCTGTGATGTGGTGCGATGTGCTGTGATGTGGTGCGATGTGCTGTGATGTGGTGCGATGTGGTGCGATGTGGTGCGATGTGGTGCGACGTGCTGTGATGTGGTGCGATGTGATAGGCGCTTCTGCCACTCTCAACAACCACACTGAGTAAAGCAAACAATCTGCATAGAATGACTCACTCAGGTTGTTTGCTTCTGCCACTCGCACTGCCACCTCCTTGCCTCCAGCGGACACCACCAGCCTGCAGCAGGGAGACACGTGGCCCGAAGGAGACATGCCACGTGGCGCAATGCAGAGTTGCCACTTAGCCATGGGATTGGATTTGGGGCAAGAGACAAGCTTGCAAGCAGCAAACGTGCCACGTAGCATTGGGTGGGATGAGGCAACCAACCAACTGATGACAGAAAATACTATCTGCTTAACAGTCGCTCCAAAAGATGCCTCTCAAATGAAAAGAAATGGAGGTAATATTATAGGCATACGTGCGAGCGAGAGAGAAACTGTGAGCAATTGGTGGTGAAATAACCAATCAATCATTTTGCACACATCCACAGCCTCTCGGAGGCACCTCAGAGACAGTGGCGTACGTGTGAGAGACTGTGAGCACTTGATGGCCCCATAACTGATGAAGCTGATTGCATAAATCCACAGCGTCTAAAGATAAGCACTCGCCCTTCTCCTCCCCATTTTCCTCCTTTTCCTCCTCCTCCTCCTCCTCCTCCTCCTCCTCCTCCTCCTCCTCCTCCTCCTCCTCCTCCTCCTCCTCCTCCTCCTCCTCCTCCTCTCCCTCACCACCCTCACTGCTTCCCTTCTCCATACCAGCAGTGCCCCCTAGTAGAACCCGAACCTCCACAGTCACATCTGATGTGAGTGTAAAGAGGGTGTGAGAGTAAAGAGGGGTAATGGAGCTGTGACTTTTGAGAATTCTCAAAAGCACCTCCAGAGTCACACCTGTTGTGATTGTAACGAGGGCGAATGGAGCTGTGAGACGTCTCTGATGCCACGATGAGGCATGTGACAGTAACGAGGAATCAAGGAGCGAATAATGGAGCTTTGGAACGCCTCAAATGCAGTGAGAGGTGTGTGATTGTAAAGAGGGGTCGTCGTGGACATGACATGTTGAATGGAGGGAGAGAAAGAGAGAGAAGGATGATGGTGCGGGTGAGGGTGAGGGAAAGGGACACAGTATGACTGTTTTTTAGTCGACTCAAACGTGGCACGACAAAGACAATCACACACACCCTACGTAACTTTTGCGTCGACTCAAAAGTCACCTCCCTACGTACCATGCAGTGTGAACCTTGGGGGCGGGAGAAAGACGTCAAAGTCATAATGAATCTGCACAGCACACAGCAGAGCAGAGCAGACAGAGAAACAGATAAATGAGGCCGACTGCCTGACTGACTGACTGAATGACATGGATGCATGTGCATGTAGTGATGCCTCTTGTTGATGCGGAGAGGAATAGGATGCAATGCAGGCACACGTAATGCAGCGAGAAACTGGGCGCTCACATCAGAGGCGAGGTGCATGTTGAATCGATGCACGGCCGAGAGGCAGCGAGTGTGCAGACACACACACTACACCACGACACAGTAGCTACACTGTCCACACTCCACCCGCACTCACATCAGAGGCGAGGTGCATGTTGAATCGATGCACGGCCGAGAGCGCTATGGCCGCTGGTGGGACGCTCGTGTGGGGGCTGGCATGGGCATGCATTGAGAGGGGAGAAAAAGAGCGGAACAGGGTGTGGAAACGCAGGGAGAGAGAGGCATGTTTCTCGGGGCTGGCTTAGGCCTTGAGAGGAAAGGTACGTACTTGATTGGGCTTATGCTGGGGATGATATTTGCAGCGCCTTAGAAGATGTTGGGAATGATAACAGCTGAGTGATGATAAATAAACATCATTCATCGTGCAAACACATGGAACACACTGATGGATGTGCATGCATGTGTATGTGCACATTTGTGCGCACGCCCGTGTCCGTGATCGCGCATGCATGCATGCATGCATTCATGCACAGGTGCGTGAGTGTACTCACATGACTGCTAGCACCCCATCGCTGCCACCCTGCATCACATGGCATGCCAACACAACAAGGAAACGAGATGGCAGATTTTGGTGTAAGCATAGCGCCGGCAGGAGGAGAGTCAAGTCGAACGAGGGGACCACAAGTCAAGGTTCTTGAAATGGTATTGCACCGCATTGCACCGCATTACCCCACATTGCACTGCATTGCCTTGCCCCCTACACTGCCTTTGCTCGCACTTCCCCACGTTTCACCTCGAGCCCACCTTTAGACTAAAGGCTTTAGTAACAAACGGTCCCCATTCACCCCCCCCAAACAGTCCCTTGGCCCCATACCCCAGCACCATTCCCAACCCATCCCCATCCCGAACCCATTCCCAACCCAACTCTGCCTTACCTTCTGCACCAGGTATATCCGCTCGCATTCCCCCCCCTCCTCCCCCTCTTCCTGCCCCTTCTCCCCCAGTTCTCCTCCCCTCTCTCCCTGCTTCCCCTCCCTCTCGTCTCCTTCTGGGTCTCCTCCCCCGTCCCTTCCCCCTTGACCCTCCCCCATCCCCAGCAATCCGCGGATCCATCCCCCCACCGCCCCTCCGCCCATGATTCCCCCCCCGGCTGCGCCTCTCCCCCTCGCGCGCCTTCCCCGCGCGTTCAGATTCCCCCCCGACCCTTCTGCTTCCGCCTGCTGCCACGTGACTCTGATATCCGCCCAATCCGAAGGGTTCACTCCGCATTGCCGCCCTGTCAGCTCGGACAGCGGCCGCGCCGCTGCTCCGCTGGCGTTGACGGTGCTTCCGCGTGCCACGTCATCAGGATGGGTGGACGCTGACGTGTCAATATCTTCCCAGTTGACCACCTGGTTTGGGGGGCGAGACGAGGCTCGAAAGGGACGAATCAGCTTCAGTTAAATCAGTCCAGCTAGATTAGCATGGAACAAGCTGAGCTCGATTACGAGCTTCGCGCCGGCGCGATAGACTGCGCGCTCTCTAGCGTCACATTCTACGGGTTAGGACACTGTAACGGTCACATGCTCCTAATTCCGCATTCTCCCTATTCCAACTTAGATTCACGCCAGCCATGAAACACAGGAAGCCTCGTGAAGGATAAGCGCGAATCATAACATTCAGTTCCATGACGCAAGCACACCTTCAGGCGGAAATGGCGCTTCGCTGGCGACTCGTCATTCGCCATTGTCACACGCGGCTAGTGTCAGTAATATGCACTTATCAGTCGACCAATCAGAAGTTGTCAGAGCGCTGCCAAGGCAGTTCGAATTTAGGCTGCCTCGATTTGAGGTACACGCCTGACATAAATGTACAGAGTTTTACAAAAGTGTAGAGATACACTCAAATATTAGGGAAAATATGCGAATGGTAACATACATGGGGCTTTATAACACGTACGGTAACCATAACAATGAATTTTCACGCGTTTGGTAACTCGATTCACGCGTTTGGTAACTATACACTGGCAAGCCATCACGCGAATGGTAACTAGAAGAAACCCTCGTCCAACTTGACCCTGATTCTGGTTTTTCCCGCTCGCGCCAGACTGAATTGACGAGTCCTGAAGCACGAAATTCTGACACACTTTCCGAAATTCTGACACACTTTCCGAAATTCTGACACACTTTCCGAAATTCGGACTATTTTGTAAACAGTTGCTGTTTTGAAAACCGTTTCTCATATAACGCTGATATTCTGGCGCTCGCGGAAAACTGATTTTACTTAATTCTATCGAACAACCGGGGCAAAAAATATATACCCCTTTCGGATGGCAAATGATTTTGAGAGCATCAACCCTAAACTCCTTGCGACAGGGCGTTCAATGCTATTTCTACAATAAAGGCATGCCATTCGGAAGGGTGTATTATTTTCTCACCTCCAAAATTATCCCACGCTGCACTAATCACACATTTATTTTTTATAAAAGTATTGTCGCTTTTCCGGGAAAATTTCATCATTTTGCAATTATGCAATCATGCTTGCAAGAATATTATTGTACTTGTTAGTACTATATTTCAGAGCTTAAAATAGATATGAAACGGCTCTGAAACTATTTGGTCCGTGGTAATTGAACAAACGCGATCCTTCAAAGTCACGGCGGGAATCGTTCAAGATCGATTAAACGGTGCGTGAAATATTTCAATTTAACAAATTCCTCTTAGTCAGGATCATTTCGGCAGGAGTTTCATCTAGTTACCATTCGCGTGATCATTCGCCTGTGCTAAGTTACCAATTGCGTGAAACGAGTTACCAAACGCGTGAAAATGCACTGTAATAGTTACTGTACGCGTTAAAGAGCCCCATGTATGTTACCATTGACATACTTTCCCCAAATATTACCCTCCCATACAAGAACCCGTCCCTCGTTTCGTTCTCCCAATCGGTGGCAACCACCTCTACAGTAAATCATCCTCCACCACACAACTTCCCCTCGACAATGCACAAATTTCAACGGCTAATCTAGAAAGGGGCCCTTGGGATTGTCGAAATTCTCTTCCTGTTGGTTGCTCAGGATCATTGTTCTGTAAGGGAACCCTGCACCGCATGTGGCAGCGGCGGATACGCTTTCACAGCGCGCCGTGACCTTTACGTCACGCGACGACCGCCATGGCTCGCGGCGGAGGGACGAAGGTCAGATTATGCCCTCGTAGAACATAAGCATGTTGCAAGCACTTGAATTCGGCGCCTTACATGACTTATCGTAGACCCATGCAAACATTCTGACCAGCTTACGTCTGGATGATTTCTCAATCCATTATCCACTCTTCACTCTGTCAGTATTAGCTCTGTGCTCTTCCTCATTCCGTTTTGCGCATACCGTCTTCACGTTCTTCTAATATCTGACCTACTGTCGCTACCTTTTTCGTCATCAACTCTTCAGGGTGGACCTATCATGAAACGTGGATCGGGTGGCAAACCTGCTGCTGGGAAGACACGTGGAGGCAGCAGCGGAAAATCCAATCCCAAGGATTCGTCACGGAAAACTACTGGTTCCGCGCAGCCCGCTAGCCGGCTAGCCGGCAGCAACCGTGGCCGGGGACGCGGGGGAACGGCAGCGGGTCGAGGAGGCAAAGCCGGCGCGAAATCCCCCAAGCCAGCGAAACCACCGGCTCCGGCGGCGGCGGCGGGGGAGGAGGAGGACGTTGAACTGTCCGACGAGGACGTGGCATTCTTCGCGCAGCACCAGAACTTCGCGCGCTTCCTCTCGGGCCTCGAGGAGCAGCAATTGGGCAGGTGAGCAGTCGGTTCCACTCGGAATGCGGGTGTCGTGTCAAGGTAGAAGGTGATGGTCAGACGAGGACGTGGCATCTTCGCGCAGCACCAGAACTTCGCGCGCTTCCTCTCGGGCCTCGAGGAACAGCAATTGGGCAGGTGAGCGGTCAATCGCTCTGCCCGTACGCGTTTCGTCGCACACTCTATCCTAGTAAATATTATTTATATAAATCATATCTGGCGTGGTTAATACTGATTCATTGTTTTCCAATGTGTCCTGTTTATCGTCAGTGAAACCAAGGGAGCCAAGCCGAAACTGCCTAGACAAGATCGTGCTGAGAACGGAAGCGATGCTGACGGTAGTGAGGATGATGGAGAGAAGGAGGCTATTGGTGATGATAAGGACTCAGAGGTTTCGGATGCGAGCGATGACGAGGACGGGGATGACGTGGATGAGGATGACGTGGATGAGGATGACGTGGAAGAGGACGTGACTGACGAGGATGAGGAGCTAGCGGACGAAGAGGAAGAGGATGAAGATGGAGCAGCGGATGCGCGGATGACGGGAGACGAAGATGAGGAGGACGTTAAGGAAATAGAAATGGCGGAGGACGAGGAGGAAGAGAAGGAGGAGGATGACGAGGAGGACGAATTGGAGCCTGTGATTTCTGATGACGAGTTTGACGATGAGGATGAGGAGGAGGAGGACGACGATGAAGAGGAGGAGGAGGGTAACTTTAGCGACGACGACGACGATATCGACGAAGTGATGGTTTTCGCCGACTCGTCAGCGGCTGGTCTTGGCTCTCTGCCCCAGAAAGGCGCGAAAGGCAAGGCGCGGGAAGCGCGCCGAGCGGACAAGGGGAAGGGTGGAGCGAAGGGGGGTGGGGAAGAAGGGGAAGACGGGGAGGAGGGCGCGGAAGGGGAGGGGGAAGAGGAGTCGGAGGATGAAGAGGCGGAGTACGAGAGGGGATCTCGCCGCCCAGGGTGGGCTGCGCCTGGGGGGCCCGCGGGGAAGTTTGCGCCAAAATCCCGCGCTGCTTCCGCCAGCGCTTCCGCGGGCATGGAAGGAGACGCGGAGGAGGTTGCGGTGGAACTGGCACCAGGGGCGGAGGGGGAGAAGAAGGGTTCAATGCGGGGTTTCGGGCTTATTGCGACGAGGGACAAGGGTGTGCTTGTGGATGCCGTTGACGCTCTGCCGGTTAAAACCCTTGACGGTCGGCTGATGTTCCGCGCGATTGAAGTGGCCGAAGCAGCGGAGGTAGAGAAGGGGGAGAAGGGGAGAGAAACGGGTGCGGAGAAAGAGGATGTGAAGAAAGGGAGGAAAGGGAAGAAGGGGGAGGAGGGTAAGGGAGGTCAGAGAGGAGAGGAGACGGCGGAGGATGGGGAGGAGGGCGAGGGCGAGGCGGAGGAGGAGAAGGTAGCAGGGGCCAGGAAGAAACCGAAGGATGCGTCAAAGCTTACTCTGCAAGAGCAAGCCATGGTACGTTCCTTCCTCCCCTCCTTCCGCCTTATACTAAAATATTCCTACTAGTTCTAGGTCTGGTGAAGGTACGTCCTACTCCTATGGTACTGCTTCATGCCCGTTCGTGGGTGTGAGTTTGTGTCTTTTTGTCTGTCTGTATGCCTTCATGGGCAATCAACTTTTATTATTTTCTGCTGATTTTTCGCAGATGGAGTTGCAAGAGGAGATGTCGGTGGAGGAGCGGAGGGCGGCAGTGAAGAAGGCTATAGCGCGGATGAGCACGCAAATTCTCGCCGACCCTGAGACGCATATCGGCATGTTGAAGTCGCTGCACGTGAGTGTCGTGTCCCAGCTGCAATGTCTGCGGTGCTGCATGCGATGCAGTGTGCATAGTGAGCATCAACGCTCGTCTAGAGTGCCGCTGCCTTCACCCAAACCCCCCCTTCCCCCCCTCCTCCCCCCCTCTTCCCTCTCCTCTCCCTCCCCCCACTTCAGAAGCTGTGTTTGGACTTAGACGCCATTGTGGCCAGCCTCGCGGTTCTCTCTCTGACGGCGGTCTTCAGGGACATCATCCCCGGTTACCGCGTGCGCATGCGCTCGGAGAAGGAGCGGGCGATGGTGATGAGCAAGGAGGTCAAGAAGCGCTGGCTCTTCGAGGAGGGCCTGCTGCAGTCGTACCAGGTCCGTCGTATTATGCAGGTTCTGGGTTTTTGTCTCCTAGTCGCCTCAAAACAAGTCGTTTTTCACGTCGCTCGGAAATGAGCGCGCGATGGTGATGAGCAAGGAGGGCAAGAAGCGCTGGCTCTTCGAGGAGGGGCTGCTGCAATCTTACCAGGTACGATTTTGTAACGAGGATTATGTTTCGTGTGTGCATCCGCAAACTGCTGGTGCAGTATGAAGGTATGTTCATGCTGAGCTGCTTAAGCCGCTTTGTGTCGCCTGGAAAGACCCTAAACCTCGGGTTCTTCTTTTGGAAACGGGCGATGCGCAGTGATGAAATTGGATTGGCTGAGAGGCCTCGCCTCGTTGACGCTCCCAATAGACTACAATTTCCTGAGCGCTCTCCTGCCCTCCAACCCATCCCTCCTTCCCTCCAACCCGTCTCTCCCCACTCTCCCAGGTTTCCTCTATTTCGGCCTGCTAGTAGTTAACAAAACTTGAGGGTCTAGTTGATTCTGCATGTGGGGAAAGATGGAGGGGTCGTGAGTGAGGGAAGGGAATTGGGAGGGGTGAGGGTGATTTTGAAAGGGGGGGAGGGAGGATGGGTAGCGCGGTGATGACACTGGATTGGCTGAGAGGCCTTGACCTCGTTGACGCTCCCAATAGACTACAATTTCCTGAGCGCTCTCCGACACCCCTTCAACCATTCTCTCCCCACTCTCCCCAGCATTCCTCGATTTCCTGCTTGCAGTGTACAAATTTGTGATCGTTTTTTTTTTCTGATTCTGCATGTGGGAAAAGGGGCGAGGGGAAGTGGATGGGGAACCGAAATGGGGGGGTTAAGGATGGGATGGGGGGAGCTGGGGATGGGTAGCGCGGTGATGACACTGGATTGGCTGAGAGGCCTTCGCCTCGTTGATGCTCCCAATAGACTACAATTTCCTGAGCGCTCCCGCAGTCCCTTTCAATCCATCCTCTCTCCCATCCTGGCATCCTCGCACAGCCTTCCCTTCGCTCTGTGCTGGTTAAGTTGTGAGTCGCAAAAAGTCCCTCCCCTCGTCCTAATGCTTTCTCCACATCTCGACGCCAGGCATTCGTGTCGCTCCTCCTGAAGCACGCCAAGCAAGCAGCGCGCCGAGCCTTATCATTTGAAGCAGCGTGCAAAAGCCTCCTTATTTCTTCTTGCCCCCCGTGCTCAACCCTTCCACTCTCATCCCTCCAGTCATTCGTCACGCTCCTCCTGAAGCACGCCAAGCAGGCAGCGCGCCAGTGAGGTGATTTTTGAGGCGCCTCAAAAATCACCTGACTGCTCAAAAATCACCTCACTGCTAAAAAATCACCTGACTGCTCAAAAATCACCTGACTGCTCAAAAATCACCTGACTGCTCAAAAATCACCTCACTGCTCAAAAATCACCTCTCACTGCTTTTGAGGCGCCTCAAAACCGTGTCATCCCTTGAGTCATTCGTGACTCTCCTCCTGAAGCACGCCAAGCACGCAGCGCGCTGAGTCTATTGCCAATTCCTAATCAATCCTTCATGCCCCCTTTCGTGCGTACCCCTTTCTCTCTCTGCTCTCCCCTCTCCAGTCATTCGTCAACCTCCTTCTGAAGCACGCCAAGCAAGCAGCGCGCCGAGCCGTGGTAGTGCGCGCCGTGTGCGGGCTGCTGCGCGTCAAGCCATGTGGAAAGTCTTATTCATCCCTCCTGTCCCCCTGTGCTCAACCCTTTCTCTCTCCCCTCTCCAGTCCTTCGTCAACCTCCTCCTGAAGCACGCCAAGCAGTCAGCGCGCCGAGCCGTGTCAGTGCGCGCCATGTGCGGACTGCTGCGCGCCGCCCCGCACTTCAACTGCCGCTCGGAGCTTGTCCGCGCAATCATTCCGCGCATGGACCTTGCAGACGACAGCATTAGGTGAGAAGGGTTCAGGGTTTCGGGTTTGGGGTTGGAGGTTCAGGGTTTCAGTGTTGGTCTTTGTGGGCCGCACTTCAACTGCCGCTCGGAGCTCGTCCGCGCAATCATTTCGCATATGGACCTCGCGGACGATCGCATCAGGTGGGAAGTCACAGGTGTTCGGGTTTGGGGTTTTGAGGTTCGGAGTTGGCCTTTGCGGCCCGCATTTCAGCTGCCGCTCGGAGCTCATCCGCGCCATCATTCCGCGCATGGACCTCGCGGACGACGGCATCAGGTAGGAACGAGGTTCGGGGTTTCAGGGTTTCGGGGTTTGGGGCTAGCAAAGGAAATAGCACTTGTGACGGCCGCTCGGAGCTCATTCGCGCAAACATTCCGCGCATGGACCTGACAGTCGACAGCATCAGGTAGGAATTCTGGATCTGCTGTTTGAGGCTCAGAGTTTTAGTGTTGACTACTGAGGGTTCGGGGGTTGGGGGTTTGGGGACATTCAACTGCCGTTTCAAGTGAAGTCCCCCCAGCTGCCGTTCGTAAATCCTTGGCGTTACCTGTCCATCTCTAAACTCACTCTTGGCCTCCTGTCCGCCTGCCCCCTATCCCCTGTCCTTTGAGTCGACTCAAGAGTCACCTCGTTTTGAGTCGACTCTTAAATCCTTGGCGTTACCTGTCCATCTCTAAACTCACTCTTGGCCTCCTGTCCGCCTGCCCCCTATCCCCTGTCCTTTGAGTCGACTCAAGAGTCACCTCGTTTTGAGTCGACTCTTAAATCCTTGGCGTTACCTGTCCATCTCTAAACTCACTCTTGGCCTCCTGTCCGCCTGCCCCCTATCTATCCCCTTCCCTTCCTATCCCCCTGCCTCCAGCTCCCTCTGCTGCAACACCATAGCGGAGTTGATGCGGGAGGACGGGCGGCACGATGGAGAGGCCACAGTGGAGGCGGCGGAGCTCGTTGCGGACTTCATCCGCCAGCGCTGCTGCGTCACGCGCCCTCAGGTGCGTCACGCGCCCTCTCAGTTGCTGCCCCTCATGGTCGGCAAGATGGACGGTAGAGGCAGCAGAGCTAGTAGCTGGCTTCATCCGCCAGCGCTGCTGCGTCACACGCCCTCAGGTGCTGCTGCTGCTCCACCCACCCACCTCTTCCACCCACCCACCCCTCCCTCCACCCACTCACCCACTTCCCCTCCCCTCCCCGCTTCCCACGCACCCGCCTTTCAACAGTCATTACTCTTTCCCCTTAACTTACCTGCGTTATGCTCCCATTCCCTCCAGTGCAACCCTGAAACCTGCAAGTTCCACTCTGGGTGTTTCACCCCATTCCCGTCGTCCTCTTTCATCTCGGGCACTAGGAGCTGCTGTCCATCTACCACCCCGCATGTTTCCATCCCCTCCAGCAAAACCCTGAAACCTGCAAGTTCCATCCTGGGTGTTTCACTTCATTCCCGTCGTCCTCTTTCATCTCGGGCACTAAGAGCTGGCGATCGTCTTCCATGTGTGGAATCCCAACCTTTCCTCTCACTTCCCCCTCTCCCCCCCCCCCTCCTCCACCTTCCCGCCCATGCCCCTCCTTCCCCCCTGTTCCCGCTCCTTCCCCCCTGTTCCCCTTCCTTCCACCCCCCCCATTTCGGCCCCCATTCCCCGATTCTCTCCCCCTGCAGGTGCTGATGGTATTCCATCCCCTTGAGTTTGACGACGATCTGCTCCAATCCGCGGAGGGCCGCCTTTTGAGGCGCCTCAAAAGTCTTCCCCCTCCATTCTTCCCTTCCCCCCATCCTCCGCCACCGCAGGTGCTGATGGTATTCCACCCCCTTGAGTTTGACGACTATCTGCTCCAATCCGCGGAGGGCCGCGCAGCCGGGGGACCCCGCGGAGGCGCAGCGCGGAAAGCCACTTGGGGCGCGGGGGGAGCGGCGGAGGGGGAGGAGCAACAGGAGGGGAAACCCAAGTCCAAGAAAGAGCGGAAGCTGGAGAAGCGGAAGGAAGCCGCGCGGATGCGGAAGGAGGTAGAAGGGGATTTCAGAGAGGCAGAGGCAGTGCGGGATGAGTCCACGCGAAAGCAGCAGCAGGCGCGGGTGCTAGCAGCTGTGTTCGAAGCGCTGTTCAGAGTAGTTAAAGCCGCGGCTATGCTGCACCAGCCGCGCCCCACAGACGGGTCTGGCGCGCTTTCCCTTCCCCCGCGCCCGCTGCTCCCCTCCGCGCTTTTCCTGATTGGTCACTTTTCGCATCTGCTTTCGGTGGAGTATCTTCCAGATCTGCTGTCCACGTTGCGCCAGCTGGCTGCTGACGTGGCGACGCCGCTGGACGGGGACGATGATGACCTGGCAGGAGGATGGGGGGAGGGCGGGGAGGGGGGTGAAGCAAGGGCAGGGGAAGTGGTGACGTGGGAGGGGGGGAGGAGGCGGAGATTAGGGCTTAGACTGGAAGATAGGCTGACGTGTTGTGTGGTGGCGCAGAGGGTGATGAAGGCGAATCTAGATTCACTGAATGTGGACATGCGCGGGTTCGTGACGCTCGTGTATCAGATGATTCTCGAGGCGCCTATCGTTCCTGCGCAAATCGCCGCCCTCTCGTCAGACACACCCTCGGGCAAGTCATCCTCGTTAAAAGCACCGTTGGAGGAAGCGGACTCGTTAGAAGAGGAGGTGATCACGCCAGGAGGTAGTGTGATATCCTCGTTAGAAGCAGCCCTCGTATCCGCGTTACAGGAGGTGTTCATGTCGTCGGGACACCGGCAGGCGGACATGACTCGCTGTGCTGCGTTCATCAAACGGCTCTCCGCGGCTGCTCTTCATCTCTCTGCTGCCGGTGCCGTTGCTGGTGAGTCTTCAGGGTTCAAGGTGTGCTGGGTGTTGGGTACTGAGTGGTTATTCAAGAGGTGGTCACCGCCAGGCGGACATGACTCGATGTGCTGCGTTCATCAAACGGCTCTCCGCGGCTGCTCTTCATCTCTCTGCTGCCGGTGCCGTTGCTGGTGAGTCTTCAGGGTTCAAGGTGTGCTGGGTGTTGGGTACTGAGTGGTTATTCAAGAGGTGGTCACCGCCAGGCGGACATGACTCGCTGTGCTGCGTTCATCAAACGGCTCTCCGCGGCTGCTCTTCATCTCTCTGCTGCCGGTGCCGTTGCTGGTGAGTCTTCAGGGTTCAAGGTGTGCTGGGTGTTGGGTACTGAGTGGTTATTCAAGAGGTGGTCACCGCCAGGCGGACATGACTCGATGTGCTGCGTTCATCAAACGGCTCTCCGCGGCTGCTCTTCATCTCTCTGCTGCCGGTGCCGTTGCTGGTGAGTCTTCAGGGTTCAAGGTGTGCTGGGTGTTGGGTACTGAGTGGTTATTCAAGAGGTGGTCACCGCCAGGCGGACATGACTCGCTGTGCTGCGTTCATCAAACGGCTCTCCGCGGCTGCTCTTCATCTCTCTGCTGCCGGTGCCGTTGCTGGTGAGTCTTCAGGGTTCAAGGTGTGCTGGGTGTTGGGTACTGAGTGGTTATTCAAGAGGTGGTCACCGCCAGGCGGACATGACTCGATGTGCTGCGTTCATCAAACGGCTCTCCGCGGCTGCTCTTCATCTCTCTGCTGCCGGTGCCGTTGCTGGTGAGTCTTCAGGGTTCAAGGTGTGCTGGGTGTTGGGTACTGAGTGGTTATTCAAGAGGTGGTCACCGCCAGGCGGACATGACTCGATGTGCTGCGTTCATCAAACGGCTCTCCGCTGCTGCTCTTCACCTCTCTGCTGCCGGCGCTGTTGCTGGTGAGTCTCTAGGGTTTAGGGAGTGGTGTGTGGTGGGCGTTGAGTGGTGAGTGGTGAGTCAGGAGGTGTTCATGTCGTTGGATCACCGGCAGGCAGACATGACGCGCTGTGCTGCGTTCATCAATAGGCTTGCTGCTGCTGCTGCTGCTGCTGCTGCTGCTGCTGCTGCTGCTGCTGCTGCTGCTGCTGCTGCTGCTGCTGCTGCTGCTGCTGCTGCTGCTGCTGCATCTCTCTGCTGCCCGCGCTGGTGAAGGTTCAGGTTTTTAAGTATAGTGTGTTGAACCACACTTCAGCAATGCGTGCCTCTTGATGGATTTTGATGGATGTCCTTCTGACTGCCATGCTCCGTGCATGGCAGGTGAAGTCCGACAGTTCCTGAAGGCACAGTGTTATCTCAATCGTATGTTTTTTTGAGAATTCTCAAAATCATCCGGCCGTGCTCCGTGCATGGCAGATGAAGTCCCACAGTTGCTGAAGGCGCAGTGTTATCTCAATCCTGATTTTTTTTAGAATCCAAAAAAAACAGCTGACCTCACAAGGTTATCAATCCTGGGGCACTACGTTCGTGCCCGCTGATGGACCCAGAATTCGGCCTGACTGCCATGCTCCGTGCATGGCAGATGAAGTTATTTTTGAGTCGACTCAAAAATAGATTCGGCCTGACTGTCATGCTCAGTGCATGGCAGATGAAGTTTTACACTTGCTGGAGCCGCAGGGTTATCACGATCCTCCACCTTCCTGCAACGTGCAACCTGCTGCTGCGTAGTCTGGCATTTCTGAACGCACGTCTATATATCCCTTCCCTTTTGTGTCCCTGTGTGCCTCGCAGTGCTGCTGGTGGTACGTCACCTGCTGCTGCGCTATCCCCGCTGTAGAGTGCTGTTAGACAAGGACCCTGACGACGATCTGCATGCTTCAGGGGGCGGCCTCGGCCCCTACGGTGGCCTAGCGGTGAGTAGTACGGTGCTGTGCGGTGCTGCGCTCTAGGGTTGGGTGTGCTCCTCTACTATCCCCGCTGTAGAGTGCTCTTAGACAAGGACCCCGATGACGATCTGCACGCTTCAGGAGGCGGCCTCGGCCCTTACGGTGGCCTAGCGGTTAGTTGACTTCTGTTGTGCTGTGGTGGGTGGTGCTGTGGTGGGTGATTGTGCTCTTACTCGTGCTTCTGTCGAGAGAGCTTGGACGTCGTTCCTCTGGGAGCTCTCTTCATTATTCTTCCTTTTGCCCCTCCTTCCCACCCTCCCCGTCCCCCCCTTCCCCCTAAATCCCCTCTCATCCCCCAATTTTACTCCCCAGCGCTACGACCCAGCAGCATCAGAGCCCGAGCTCTCAGCCGCCCTCACATCCTTTCTCTGGGAGCTCTCCCTTCTCGCCCGCCACTACCACCCGCACGTTGCCAGCCTGGCGCGCCACGTCAGCACCATTGCCACGTCACCCACTGCCGCGGCCGCCCCGGGCAAGCCAGCGAAGGGGGTTGCTGATCCGTACCAGAAGGGACAGCCACAGAAGCAGCAACAGCAACAGCAGCAGGAGGCAGCGTCAGGTGGTTCTTCAGGTGGTTTTTCAGGTGCCACTGATCTGCTGCTCCTAGCTGGTACAGTGAACAGTGGTGTTGGCAATACCATGAACAGTAACATGAACAGTGGCATAAGCACCGTACCAGTAGGGGTGGTAACCCCATCCCAAGCGTATGCTGGCTACAGTGGCGCTGTCACTGAGTCGTGCTTTCGGCCAGCTGTCGCGACGCCATTGGCCGTGAAATCTGGCGCGGCGGGCGCTGCTGCAAGGCGGTGGCGGAAGGAGGTGGTTTTGGGGCGGATGAGGCGGAAGCGGGGGAGAGACGAGGGGGAAGGGGGGAAGGACGGAGGGGGAAAGGGAGGAGCAGCGGAGGAGGAAGACGAGGCAGGGTGGGCAGAGGGGGATTGGGCAAGGAGGGTGAGAGTGTCGTGTTGGCAGCAGTGGGGGGCGGCTATGAAGGGCGGGGCAGGAAGCAGCAAGGCAGGGAGTGGCAGGAGAGGCAGAAAGGGCAAGATGAAGCAGCCACAGCAGTTGAAGAAGCAAGGTTTAGTGGAAGTAGGGAGGCAACAGAAAGCAGCTGGCAGTGCTGCTGTGGGAGTGGTGGCAAAGCGAGCCAAGAAGGAGGCGGCCGCTGCCTGACAAGGGGCCACGATGAACGGGGAGGCAGGCACGAATCCCGGGCCGTGGGGTGGCTGCTTGGTGCCTGCTTGGTGCCTGCTTGGTGCCTGCTTGGTGCCTGCTTGGTGTCTGCTGCTTGCACCTTGGTATGAAGAAGACTGAAGATTCTGTTCCGTCTGGTACGTGTACAGCATCAGACCTTCGGTCGATGCCTCTGAATCGCGCTGAACCATGCTGGATCGCGCTGAATCGCGCGGGAATCAGCTCGGCCCCTTTCTTACGACGTGGTTTGTCTGTCTAATCTGGCTGACTCTGCTGATGCGAAAGCTCAGTATCCTAAACACCAACAGCAGCCTTGTACAGCTCAGTACACCTTCTGCCGATGTAAGCACTGCTCTGTTATGAAGCCATGAAGCCATGAGCCACACCCCCGCCCTCCCCTGCTGTGAGCCCATGGGGTGCCTGATGATGCTTGTTTTACACACATCAAATAAACAACCGAGTGCCCCCAGCGGCACATGAGGACTACTACTGCTGAAGGCACGCTTTTAACTTTGTGGCACAGCGCTTGCACTCTTGCACTCTTGCGCAGTCCACCTCCTTAGCCTTTCTGTGCCCCCTTGCTTTCTTCTCTTTCTCAACTCACCTTTCCTGGCAAAAGGCATCGCTTTCTTTCTGGCTTGCCGTGCCTGAATTTTTGAGACGTCTCAAAAGACCTTTCCTGGCAAAAGGCAACGCTTTCTTTCTGGCTTGCCGTGCCTGAATGGTATGTTTTCACTTTTGAGTCGACTCAAAAGTCTACCTGGTCTGTGATGCTACCAACAACTTCCTTACCTACATTACCTGAGCTGGGTGGGCCCTTGGGTTCCTTCCGCTGCTGATCCACATGACAAACTGAGACCAGGTTCTGTCTAGGAGAATTGACAGAAGTGATTGACACAATCTCTTTGTTGACACACTCTCTTCTTTGATTCCTGTGAGCCATCCTTGCTGTAAGTCCATGGGGTGCCTGATGATGCTTGTTTTACGCACATCAAATAAACAACCGAGTGCCAGCAGTGGCACATGAGGACTACTACTGCTGAAGGCATCCTGAAAAGCAAGTCACCTTCATTCCATTACACCTGAATTACTGAGGGGCACTTTCCGTGCCTATCTCAAAGCACCTTCTTTCTCCTTCGAGTTTTAAAGGCGTTTGAAACCTATTGTTTGGTTCTTCTGCCATTCTCCTTCCTTGCGTTTTTGTTGCACCTTTCCCTTAAGTTAGGGGTGCCGTCCTTTTTTTTTTTTTTTTTTTTTTTTTTTCAGAAACGTCTCCCTTTTAAAACTGGATTGTTGTGCTGGCTATCCTCTCGTCTGGTCTGTGATGCTACCAATCAACTTCCTTACCTACATTACCTGAGCTGGGTGGACCTTAGGGTTCCTTCCACTGCTGATTTACATTCCAAACTGAGACCAGCTCTTTCCTTGAGAAATCGCGTGTCCCTTCTGCCATCATCCCTGCTATTCTTATTTCCTATCTCTTGTATAACTCTCGTCCCTCCTGTCCGTCCCTCATTTTTCTCGCTACCCCTCCTTTGTATTTGTGCTTGGAGAGAGTGAGTCTGCTTTGGGGCAATCTTCAAAATGTAAAGAGATGCTGGTGATCGGGAGTGTGTAATGATGAGGAAACCCTCTGGGAAAATCAAGAGACAGTGCAGTATGCACTGAATGAGTTTCTTAAATCCAATAGATCCTCCTGAACACCTCTCTACTGGCCTGTCTTTCCAGCTTTCTTGCCCCCCTGCCTTTCTCTATCCCCCACATCTCTCAAGTCCAGTCTCCCACCATCCCCTGTCTCTTTCCCCCCCTTGGCTCCCCTCTTGGCCTTTGGCTGATGAGGATCTCTGATTGTCAACGCTGAGATGTTGTGTAATGATGAGGAAACCCTTTTAGGGAAACAAGAGACAGTGCTATAAGCACTGGATGAGTTTCTCAAATCCAATAGATCCTCCTGAACACCCCTCTACTAGCTTGGCTTTCCTGCCTTTTTTGCCCCCCTGCCTTTCTCTATCCCCCACATCTCCACGAGTCCAGTCTCCCACCATCCCCTGTCTCCCACCTTGGCTCCCCTCTTGGCCTTTGGCTGATGTGCGGGTCACTGATTGTCAATGCTGAGATGTTGTGTAATGATGAGGAAACCCTTTTAGGGAACAAGAGACAGTGCTGCAAGCACTGAATGAGTTTCTTAAATCCAATAGATCCTCCTGAACACTCCTTTGCTGGCGAGACTTTCCCAGCTTGTTTGCCCGCCCTGCCTTTCCCGATTCCCCCGCATCTCCAGTCTCCCACCATTCCCTCTGCTTTTTCCCCTCTTCCCCCCTCGTTCTAGGCCTCTTATGGGGGGGGGGTCTCATGTAATACCTCGTGACTCAGCTGCTGTGTAATGATGAGGAAACCCCTTGAGGGAATCAAGAGACAATGCTGCAAGCACTGAATGAGTTTCTTAAATCCAATAGATCCTCCTGAGCACAGCATTGCTGGCTTTCTTCCCTCATCCTTTCAGTCTCATTTTGTTGACTCTATTCACTTACATTCTCCCTCTATTCACACATTCTATCTCTCTTTCCCTCCCATTCCCATGCAGTGCAAGCAAAAGTGTCAAAGAATCCTCGTTGGAGCCAAGGCAGCAAACACGCTTGTTGCAGAATTGGAGTCAACGCTTCCATAAAATTTTCTAGTTTGCAGAATTTCAGGCCATAGCGTGGCTGAGTTGTTCTGTTAATGCATGTGGAGTTAAAACGTTGATGCCACTGGAAGGTTTCAAGGCATATTATTACACATTACTGGGCAAATGAAAGTGTTTATTGCAAATATACATTTCTACATTTGAGATGAACTACGGTACTGGGGAACAGGTCTCAAATGGGAAAATATGTCACAAGTAACCAACATGGGACTTGATAATGTGAATGGTAAAAAAGTAACACGTACGGTCACTGTATCGGGTTTGCTGACGGTCACGGATTCAGTCACTACCAACAGGTAAAAAATCACGCGAATGGTCACGGATTCCGTGAAACGTTTTATCAAACACGTGAAAACACCCTTTGCAGTGACCGTACCCGTTATTTTTTTACCAAACATATTATCGAGACCCTTGTTGATTAAGAGTGGCATATTTTCCCGTCTCAAATTGCTGTCAAATCGGACTCACTACCGATATTTCCGAGTGTACCCGTAACACGACCACATGTAACAGGCTCAGGCGAAACCTCGACAGGCACGAAACGAGAGCCGCAGATGCGACCTGAGCTGTCGACGTGGGGCACGGGGCGAAATTCCCTGCCAGGGTCCTGGAAACTGCCGAGACCAGTAGCCGTCGAGTAAAAGCAGCCTGCGGGTTGTGGGGTGAGGCAGGGTGGGGTAGGGTTGGGAAAGGCGGAAGACGGCGGGGAAGGGCGGGCGAGGAGGATGAAACTGGGGAACCAACAACATAGCTTTCAGGGTAGACCCTGGTGGTGAACCAGAGACGGGGAAAAGAGGTGATGTGTCGAAAAAGACATCCATGTTCAGATCATCAGATCGAGCAGGAAGGTGTATGATAGGGGAGGGAGGCATTCATAGATGAGAATGCAAAGATCGTGATAGAATACAATTACGTCATAAAAATACTCCTGCACGGGTGCATACCTGGAGGGAAGGGCGCGTGGGTGGTGGGGCAGCATGCTCGCAGCAGGCCCAGGTCGCGACACGGCGATGCGACGGTCGCGACACATGGCCCAGTGCAGCTCCACGTGGCTATCGCCGTCCTGTGATTGTACCGAGTCACACACAGCGGAGAAAACGTAACGAGGCGGAGTTGAAAAGGCGAGAGGTAGCGTGCAGCCAAGTCATGGCCACTGGAAAAGCAGAAAGACCACAATGGTATAGCATCAAGTTGGCCCACCCACGTTCTTTCGTTCCTCTCTCTGATTCAGTTAGCTGGTCTCTGCTATATGGTGGTCTGCCTTTTCGTTTTTTCCGTAATTACTGGCCATTTTCACTCACAGCTGCGATGAACGCGTTGCCCGTTTCGTTGTCGTAAATCATCGTGGAAAACGGCCCGACCATTTCCCCCAGCGCGGATTCCGCAGAATGCGACACCTGGTCGTACAGGAGGGCACTCCGAAGCGCCTTGTACATCCCCAGCACGAGCTGCGACTCGCTCGTATCGTGACCGTGGCCGCCGGCGACGCCGTACGACCGTCGCAGCTGTGCGACGTTGTCTATGCGACCGGTGAAGACGCAGAAAACGTCGTCGGACGCGGCGAGCTGCGTGCGATGGAAGGAGTCGTCGCCGTCGTGCGAGTAGCCCAGCACGGCCTGCGCGCCGAGCTGTATGCTCGCCGCGTTGGGATGGCGTTTCAGAAACTCCTGGAGGAGATCGGCTGACGTGGCACACTTGGAAGCGTCATAACTGACGTCGCATGGGAGCTCGACGAGCGACTCGTCGAAAATGGCCAGCGCCATTCGCAGTGGTTATGAGTAGATCCTACTGTGCCTTTTGGAAACAACCAGATTCAATGTGGGAGGGACGACGTCAATAAGAAGACGGAAATTAAGGCGGAAACTCGACTGGAAGTTGCGAAACTAGCTTTGGGCCGCTGAACGTTGAGAGTCGTCCACAATTTCGACCGGAGGCAATGTAACTAGCACGTTTCAGAAGCAGCGCTCACCAGGCTGCAGACTAGTAAATGCACTATCGGTTCAGGAGTAGGTAATAGAGGTCTAAGCTGAGAAGCCAACAGAAGAATGAACAAATAAAAGAAGTGGCATGTGGGAAGGACGAGCAGAGAAGGAGGATTACAAGCGTGGGATAAATAGGACCAGCTGGAAGGGTGAGTGTAGTAAGAGCAGAATCTGCAGTGATGATGCTGGGGAGGAAGGTGGCTGCTGGAAGCAATGCTGCAAGACAGCTCACGTGAGGACGTGTTCTATCTTCTCTGATCGCCAGGTTGAGTGAGGGTCTCCTGCGTAACTGAACTCCAATGAGCTTGTTT